TCTCATCTGAACTGTTCTATGACATAATACACTAAGCAAGCACACTCATTCACACTAGGCAGGTGTAACTATACAGAAATAAATATTAAGACTTCCCAATCTTAGGAATAAATTTCTGAGGTAATATTTCCAAAATCCGGGATATTAAACAAGCATAAAAGATAGAATTGGATAAACTTAACTTTTTTATTGAAATTCACAGAAGTCTGAAATTCAGTCTGGTTTTCTTGTCAATGTGCATAGACATTAAGTCTAACTGAAGGATGAAATGGCTGACTTTGGCAGATAACTGCAGATTATCTTAACAACATCATTCACCTAACCAATAGTTTGCTTGGATGTTTTCTCATGTTTTAGGCATACAATATGATTCTAAATGCATACCCTACTACCAAGAGGATAATTACTGCAGATGAAGCTCTCTTTAAAGTGAAATCTAAGTCCTGAATTGAAAAGGTTAATGTAAGAGCAATAATTTGCAAGCTTTATTATATCAATCTGCTGATTAGAGATTCATTTTTGTTGTTGGTAATGCTGCTTAGAAAATACTCATTATGAATCTTCTTACATTAGAGTCCCACTTGGTGATAAAAAGCATCATGTAAATCTGTCCTAAAACATATCAAACACAAGGTTACATCAATAATTACACAGCCATTCATTGATTGGATATAGCACTACACGATTCCACATACATCTGATCATAGTGACGTCCATTTGTAATTCCCTAGGGGGTTAGTTATTGGATACAGGTTAAAGCATAAATTCATCACAATTAAATAATCAATTCTTACTCTTTTAATGAGACCCCTTTTCATTTGTTAACTGAACTGAGAACTCACATCAATACTTCAATAGCTCTCACATTTGGCAAAGATTTGAGTCTAGGCTAACTGAGGTGATGCTGAATACAAAGGAAATGCTACAGAATAGAAAATCATTAGTCAATGAGTAAACTTTAAAGCAGCCCTAATGGCAAATCTCATTTGAATTATCCAATCTTTACCATCTAAAGCTTACAGATTAACTACTTATCTGAGCAAAACTGACTCTGGCACAAATCAAATAAATGACATTTTGCTGGACTGCTCCAATGTAATATTTGATCATCATAATCGACATAACTAAGCCATAAGATCGAGTATAAACGGACATAATTATCTCATCATATTGACTGCTCAGAAATGACCAGGGTGAGATACTAAATGTTTAAATCAGAATCATACCATGGTGTGAACTATCTATTTGAAAATCCACATTCAAAAATATCATTTCTTTTTCTTTCAAATCGCTTAATATATTTTGCTTGATTGCGCTGGGTTTGTACAACATGAACTGATATCCTATATCATCATACATGTCATTTGTATACGGACTCCTAGCTTGATTAAAATCATGAGTAAAAATTATCATATGAATTATAACATATGAATGATATGAATAAAACCCTATGCTCATTTCAAATTTTGCATTAAAATATACAAATACATGTACACTTAAGTTCTTGTAGTTTCACTAGACATTTTTCAGAGCTAGCATCTTCCAAATTTCAACTGATACAGCCATTCCTCTCCTAAATCTGTTACCCTAAATTAAAATCAGCTTTCTAAACTATCCTCTATAATTTTGGATCTGATACCAAGCTCTCAGAGATCTAAAATGTAATTTTAATGGAAGTTTGAATGTTAAGTAAAAACAAGTTACTTATGGTAGTTAATGAAGTTTCATGTTTTTTGATAACATATTCTGATTTGATACAGACAATATTTATGGAGTGAGACCTTTATGCCATAGAGAGTAGTTATTTATATATTACTATTATGATTGTTTTGCAGTATAAATAATACACTAAATCCATGCGTATTGCAAATTAACCATTAAATATACCTAAAGACAACATAGAAATGAGACAATCAGAATAATCAAGTGTGAATAACCATGGATTATTCATGTAAATATGCTATATGCATGAAAATATACAGTTATTTATTCATGTTAGTGAAGTTAATTAACTGGCATTGCATTTAAAAAGATATATGGACCTATGATTAAAAGCTTCATTATTCATACAATTCACAAGACACAAAGAGAGATATTCTTGTGTTATTGAACATGTGTCATGTTGTCTTCTTGGCGTTCATCATCGTCATGGAGATGCTCAATAGATGTCATTGTTTTTCACCTTTGTTTTCTAGTGGTATGATACATATATACGAGTACATGTAATAAGTACAATAATGTGATAAGGAGGTGGGGAAAGACAGGGAAGAAGTACTCATCCATTCACTTGATCTTCTAATCCTGCATTTGGAGGATGAATTAGTATTTATTAATACATGGTATGCTACAGGGGAATCAATTTGAAAACAAAAGATGCCTTTCCACAAAAAAGGTGTTTATTTTATACCTCCTTCACAGAATATCAATATGAACAGAGATTAGAGAAAAATCAGTCTTTGGGATAGAACAATAGGCTATTTTTGATCTTAATTGACTGCCCTGTAAAATATCAATTTACAACAATCTCAATTAAGAACTAGTTCCTCTACATGTATATTGGGAATGATGCTGATGTCTCATATGAACTTCAGGGTCAACACCATATGCCAATTTACCATTGAACTATTAACAACTTCCTCTATCAACAACTTAAACATGTAACAGCATGTAACTCTGATACAATAAATATTTTCTTATATACAGGCCCATCTCTGAAATAAAAAACATATTACACAATAATAAATGCAATGATTAAGTGTCTCAAAAATCTACTAACAACATTATCATATTTACTACCTAGTAACATTTTGTTATTTTCTACATTAATAACTGGTATTCATATCAGGGTGTTCAATAAGTAATGCTCATGCTTTATTAAACATTATGTTTTGCTCAAACGTTCCCAGTGTTAACTCAAAACACTGAAAATTAGTGTGCTCTAGCTCATATTCATTTGGTGCTATGGTAACCATAGTTATGGTCCAGCAGTGACAAAATATCTTACTTATTCAGAACTGAAAACTGAAAATGTGTTTTGTCTTTTAATAGCCATAAAACAGTAGTCAACATATTTAGACAAATCATTAACCTTCAATTATGTCACCACCTGCCATTTGTTACAGATGCGAGTGCCAACTGCCGAATGCCATCCACAAAAAAGTTGAAGACTATAACAACATGTCATCATTTCTGGTAGTGACATAAAAATAACATGGGCATCAAAGAAATCACACAACAATGATACAAATTACAATGAACTTTATGATTAAGAAGTCCCCAAATGGCTGCTATTAGGTACAGTGGCATTACATGTTCAAGAGAAGAAAATATTATTTTAAACAAGCAGCCATAGACTCTAACATAATATAAAATGACTCAACTAATGAGTGGAAATTAAAAGCAAAGATTAAATAAATTTATTTCTACTTTAACTTGTGATGTTGCAATTTACTCTCTGCAGAATCCTTTTTTCAGTTACTATGACAACTGCTTCATCTCCATATTGCAGCACTGAATCTTGATCACTTTTCTAGAAAAGCTATAAATATCTTTGATGCCTTCACTGTAAAAGTTGAGCTATATATATCAAACAAATGTGTTAAAGCAAATAAGCCATACTTATCAAACACCTGAGCATTAAGGCACAATTTATGTTGTTGGGTTGTAATGAATAAATGTCTAGGATAACATGATTTTTCCCAAATTATTAAAATCTAATAGGCTAACATGACTGACCCTGCTAACCCCTAATACAGGCAACACAATAAGTCATTCAAACAAGCACAAAACACCATCATATAATATTAGAGCAGGGGCATAATACATTACTACATAACCTACATGGGGCTCACCAAGGGGGAAATATAACACCCAAGAGAACCCCCTATAATCTATATGGGATTATTCATTTTTTACATAGAGTAGTGATAAATTACTATAAACATACAGGATATTATACTTACCATCATTTATATTCTACAATTTGTTGTAATTTTGAACAAGTCAATATTTTCAAGAGATCAACACTATTAATAATAATAAAAATGTGATGGTGATTTTTGCTTTGGTGATGGTATTTAAAAAGTGCCATATTAAATACATACTATGCAAATGCAACAAGTAAAGCATGAAGAGGTTATTACGATAAAAAAGTGAACATGCAGAAATAGGAGAAAATGTAGTATCTTTTTACATTACAGTAAAAAGCATTGAAAATTCAATTCTAAACATGCAAAATGAAAGAGAAAGTGTCTGAAAATGCTCATGGGCTAAGGCAAGTCATATCACAAAATCTCACAGCTGGTTCCCAATTCCAAGGTTTTTTAGTGATTTCATCGAAGTACCACCAGAGAAGTCAATACTAAAAGTGCTCCATGAATGCTGATTGAAGGCTATTCTTTTGAAGTATAAATTAATATATTGAAAGAATGACATATGTCGTTCTTAAGTTAAACATTGGAGGAATGATGAACACTTTGATTCACAGATAGTAAATAATGCAATGCTTTTAAAAAATGGATATCTCATTGACAAATCAATGAAATCAATGGTTAACCTTGTTATGGACAGTGGTAATTGAAAATCAAATGTTAACTATATGCAACTGCACAAAGTGTTATAACATTATTCAAATCTAAGGTATCACACTGAATATTGGTTTTGTGGCTTCATAATATTCTTTATTATCCCATACTTAGTAGTGTTATAGGTAAATAACATGCGGGAATATAATTGATATCAGGTAGATATATTGTATTTCCTTCAGATATACCCTGTATCAAAAACCTCCCATTAAATAACCTCTATATATCTCATAAGACATTTGCATATCTTAGAAATGATCAAAAATATGAAATTTCGTCAGAAAAGAAAAGGAACCAAATATAAACCAATATTCAAATCTGATACAATAGAAAGATATTGTGGAGGATGGGTATTTAGCATTCAGACACCTTTAAACTTAGGCTAGACTAAATATAGAGCATCCCTCTAAACGTTACCTGCTCGTTGCGATCAAGCACATTTTATGGATCCTATTATTATGAGATAGTAAAACATTTCAGAATAAGTCACATATAACCCACAGTATCAAAACAGGAGTTCAAGAAATCGTCCCATTACATAATCATTTTACTGCATGCTTTATCATAATTTTAGAAGATTTTACAAGAAATGCTTGGCTGTTTATTCACTATCAAATATATTGTAAGGTGTCGTACCTTGCTCTTCTTAGATTTTGTTTCCTTTGTGCCACCCATGGCAAACCGCTGTCTCTAGAACCCTACTGGGATATTGTCGATAAAGTGTTTTACCAGGGACTCCAAGCAGTGGTATACCTCAGTTAGGACATGGATATCTTCAAGTCCCTCAGAGATATTACTCCTGGTTGTTCATAGGCTGTGGTATTTCCCTCAGTATCAACTAATGGAATCAACATAGAAAGTCAAACATGAATAGGCATAAAATTGATATGCTGATATGTAATTTTGAATACATAAATAAAAATTTAAGAGGGTTTCAAAAGATGTACAAATACAATTAATATCCATTTGACCTTAAGTCCATTACTATGATAAAAAAAACTCATAAAGTAAAGGCAATAAAATTTATAAAAGCACTTAACTTTCTTAGCATTTGATTGGTTGAATTGAATGAATATATGGCAGTGTTTAAAAAACACAAAATATATGGTTATGACTAGTGATTTGCGATGAATAATATTCTAGTAGCAATAACATTGAATCAAAAAATGAGTCTATGTTAGAAACATTTTAACTTAACTTCCAACTAAGTTTTACTAATGTAAAAATAAATGAAGTGAATTACCAAGGTCTAAAGAGAAAAAAGCAATTTACTCTTCATAACATAGTTTCAAAATTCAAAAATATTAATAGTATAGTATGTTCAACATCTTTTCAAAGTTTTTATAACTGACACCCGAGAAAGTTGCTTTGTTGCGCATGTGACAACTTCTCTCAATTTTCAGTATAGAATGCATCTTTTATGGTAATTTATGACATAGTCATCGTGCGTGGTGATTTACGTTAACAGTATTCGACTTTACTGTCTAAACGTTACAATATTCTAGTTTATGGACATGAATATGAAGCAATTTTTGGTGATTGTAAAGTGTTAATGAGAGAGACCCTGATGACAAGGCTTCTACATGGCTAACTTTTTGCAACTTTTGTTCTTTTTGCATCACAACTCAAGCATACCACTCGCCCAACTTTTTGGAAAAAATTGCAACTCTCTCTGGTGCCGGGTATAAGTTAGAGGTGCATTAGCAGCAGTAAGCAGAAAACATTAAATTTTCTAATAAAATTTTTTTATTTTAAAATTTACATTTAGAGCAATATATTGGGACACATTTTCTGAAAAAATCAAAAGATTCTGTTCTTTGACCTTTCCTGAGTACCTCCTTTTAGCTTTTTTCAGTCACATTTTCGGAGGGCTGAAAAGGTTAATTCATCATGTTTATGGTCATTCTGACCATTTCCATTGTGTTCCCGGACATGTAAATGATATGTAGAACTAGTTAAACTGACTGGAGGTCTAAACAGAACTCGGTTATCTTGGTTCAAAAAATTTTCAAAATCCAGCATGGTTTTTTCATTTTTTATTTTGTCATTTCCTGTTAACTTCCATGGCTTCTTAAAGTAGAGAAATTCCAGACCTGGTGCGCACCGCTTTTTAACTTTTTGCGCATGCGTGCACATTCGGGCTGAAACGAATAGTAAATTCTCATACCGAATATTCGGCCAGCAAGTCCCCGTTCGGCCCCGAATATTCGTTAAAAACCCGGAAGTAAATATAGTGTTTGATTTCTAAGAGCATGTGAAGTAAATACACCAAGTTTGAACAGAATTGCAGGCTGTGTTATGTAAACCATTTGTTTGTTTGTAATATTATTACATTTAATTAACGTCAATAAAGCATTTTATTTACCTATTTGTTTGTTAATTTCACCAATAAAACAGTAAATAAAAACGAAAACAAGAAATACAACCTTCTCCCGGCGTGTTAATTACGTCATCGGGAAACACCAAATATACGATGGTTCTAAAACACATACCAGACGTAATTACGTAAAGAAACGATTGCCGATTACTGTAGAACTTTTTTTATAGTATTCGAATTCACAATAAATTGTGAAGTTGTAGACGATAAGACAATGCAACGGTTGTGTTATGAATGATTATAAATACTTATTCCAAGAGCATGCGCTAAAAACTGAACCTAAAAACGAACCTGGCACAGATTGCCTCTCGTCAAACGAATGTTCTTAACTTTATATTCAAGTAATACCATTAATCAGCAGTACTCAGAGCGCCAGAGGTTACAAGTAAGAGCTGCAGATGACTCTTAGGTGAGTAACCGTGTAATCTATATCGGGATTGCCTTAGAATTGGGTTTGTCTTGGCGGGAGACTAAATCGGCGCTCATGCGCAGTCAATCGTTTAATATTCGAACACCACAAAATGCCATTCGAATATCACCTGAGACCTATTTGCAACCGAATACTTGAGTATTCGTTTCACCCCTAGTGCACATGCGCATTGTACTTTACATGCGCATTGCCGCTGAAAGATCATGTGACTATTCATATTTAGCTAACGCGAGTTACTTTGTGGCAAATCTTTACTTACGAAAGTCACAAGATCTCGCGAGACCTAAAATACCTGCAATCTGAATTCAAAAGTTTTGTTGTCTCATAGAACATTGATTTACGACAACAGACTGTTGAATGAACAAAATAAGGTAACAGCAAATAAATTAAAGTCCATTTCACTGCTTCATTTCGTCAGTAGAACGGCAAAAATAAGAAATTGGGAGACCATTGTGCAATAATATATGGAAAAGTATATTCATAATGTACATGAATGACATTTGTATATTTCAGATTTTTTCGTTTTTTGTGCAATGATAATTTTTTGAAGAATTTCAGCCATGTTAATCTTATTGAAAATAACATGGCAGAGAAACATCCAAATATAAGAGGCCATACACTTTATAAGCCAAACTAGAAGCAATCCAAGATATACAAATTTCTTATTTTTGCCGTTCTACTGACGAAATGAAGCAGTGAAATGGACTTTATGTATTGATTTAAATATACAGCATATTATAAACTCTACTCAGTTTTAGTGTTTAGTGTTCAGTCAAAATGGGCTCGATTTTTTCTCTTCAAGAATTTTCAATCCAACTTCCCAGCTCGGTAGAGTAAGTGCTGGCTGTGGAATGACGACATTAATGAGGAAGGAAGACAGTTTTTTCTTCATTCAAGTTGCCCAACCTCCCATTATCCGTGATACAGCCATATTTAAGTAGCTGTGCTTTACTCACTTCGAGAGCCATATTAGATTTCGAGAGCCATATTAGATTTTGAAACTTATGGCTCTCAAACGGAGAAGTGAACAGCTGATCAATAGTGACCTTTGAAATTGAATTAAGTCGATCCGCGGCTTACTTTTGGTCTCTAACTGTGTCTTACATCAGTATCATCAATTCGTGTAAGTATTGGAGCGCTGGAGTACTTCTTTTTCGATCAAGACTTGTAAATTGTTCATCGAGTTAAAGTTTTACAGACCTATTTCCAATATGGCGGTTTGCTAGGTGCGAGATACGCAACGAACGAAATGAATTTTGAGAATTAGTTTGGTTCGGACAACCTCCGGAGATTTACGAAAATGTCCGAGCAGAAACCGCCATATTGGAATTTGGCAGTAAAACGAATTACAAGTCTTGATCGAAAAAGAAGTACTCCAGCGCTCCAATACTTACACGGATTGATGATACTGATGTAAGACACAGTTAGAGACCAAAAGTAAGCAGCGGATCGACTTAATTCGATTTCAAAGGTCACGATCATTGAGCTGTCCAAATGGTCCGTGGGAAAGCTATTATATCAAAATCCAAATAGCTTTCGCAGGAAGTAAGCTGTGCTGTGATTCCAACGAAAATCGGACACACCATTTTTGAACACAATAAAAAATCAATATTTTTTCTGAAAACCAACTTTAGAATTACTTTTTCGACAATTATTAGAGAACTAAGCTTTAAATCTGTATGATCTTTAAATCCATATGGCAAAATATATATATTAACTTTATCTATTTTACACGATATGCCGCTTTAAATGGGGAAAATAACACAAACGAACCTGAAATATTTGCATAGAAAGTCAGCCATATTGGATTTTCAGCGAACATACATAGTTGAATTTGATTGGCTAATTCAACACTGAACGAAATGCTTCAGTGTTTATAATTTATCGTACCTACAGTTAATTCCCGGGCTTGTCTGTCTTGGAGCAAAACTAGCCTTTAATCAGTTAATGCTTATGTTACACAAGTGAAATAATTGCTAATAACAAATTCCTTTGAGGATTTCCTATAATAGATGTGAAATTTGTATCTACAGTATCTAAATTATTCATCATGGATTTAAAGTGACATTTGGCACAAATAAACCAGGTTCCATAGGGGGGGGGGGGGGGGGGGGGGGCCTCCATATTCTTTTACTCTACCATTTCATTGGTGTCATCCCAATCATCTCACTTTTATGGCTATTTACAAACCATCCTCAAATTGCTGAAACAGGCCACAATCACTGGACATGAAACAGCCCAAATTTTATATCTGTGGGGCTAATGTCTACACTAACAACTCTAGAAACATTGAAACAAGAGATGAGAAGGAAGATGTGAACCATTTCAAGATGTTTGTGATCGAGTAGTGAACAACTTTGCTTGAAACATTCAAGTTTGTCTCCAGACTTGATGCTGGCATTTTATAGCATTTTTGTAAATGGCTATAAAATGTTGACCATTAGGGATAGATCATAGACTAATGCAACTTTAAATTTGCCAAGTATGACATGAAAGTTGAAACATATGCTGAATGACTGAGACGTTAAGATTTGTTACCTTTATGGCTCCCTATACAGTAATATACTGTATAATAAAAAAAGTAAAATAATAACAAATAGCTTTCTCTGATTCCAACAAAAAAATACTTAATAATTTAACAATAGAAATTAACATTTTCTCTTAAAACCAACTTTCAAGTTGTTATAAAAAAATACTATATATTCATTTTAGACATTTTTGTTTATTCTTTTAAGCTTTTACATCTAATTTAATCATGGTAATGGTGAACTGTTATAAAGTAAGAACCTTAGTCAAACAAATACAGAGGGTAAGATTTCTGTTTATTCTAATGATGACCCTTAAAAACGGGGAAGGGACAGATAATCACTTTCAACACTCTGGTGAGACTGGTGGGATGTTGGAGGATACAAGATATATTTTGCCTAATAAATTCTTATCCCATCTTAAAAAAATTATAAATGTACAAAATTAATAAGTGTTAACAAAGAAAAAGGTAAATCTGCACATATATTTTATTCATATAACCAGGCTATATATAGTAGGTTCACATAAATACCATATGAAATATTTTTTTATCTTATCACATACAAGCTGCTTCCATCTTACATTCTCTATTCTCACTGTCACATTAATCTGAGATTTAATCTCTAATCATTAGCATACTTGAATACTGGAGTCTCTCACTAATAGGCCCCATGGGCATTTATTTAAAAGTCCTTTGACAAATGAATGGCCATGAGCGTTAATTAATCAAGTTCCCAGAATTGAATTCCAAGACTCTCTTTATCTCTCTTTAGCCTGATTCAAATACTGTCATACTCTATTCCAAGAGATTCCAGGATATAGGTCTATGAAATTCATGAATTTTTAATTGCCTAAGTCTAATTGTACATTCTATTAATTAGCAAGACAAGGTTCTAAACTTCAGAAAATAAAATGGTTGTGACCCCAGTGACATCTTTCAATCGAATAATTGACAATTGCAAAAATAGTGCATTCATTCACTCGAAGACTGATTTTTGATTTCTGATTTCAAGAGAAATCCACACATGAAGCATGTCCATAAAGATAAAACTGCTATAAAGCTCAGAGTGAATCTCAGTGCTTTGAACCACAGAGGATATCCCTGCATTGTTGCATCAAAATATGCTATGACTCCTAAACCTCCCATTAATGTTACACAAGACAATGGTGAAGGCAGCAGTAAGCCTGTCCAAGCAACTAAAGAAGGCACAACACTATATCCTAAATTATGCCAATTAGGCTGCTCAAAACTTTCTTCTGGGAGAGTAAATCCCCATCTTACCCCTCCCAGAAAGGAGAGAATACAAGCACCATATGCAACCTGTGCAAACGCAATTTCAGGTGAAAACACTCCAGTTGCCATCATATATGCTGGTGCTGATATAAATGGTATAAGTCCAGAAAGGCCAAGTGTTAAGGCAGGAAGTGGGGAAGATTTTAAGTGCACAAGGTTCCTCCATACTGCCAGTGATTTTGTTTCATTATCTTCTTTTATGCATTGTTTCTGACTTGTGTTGAAGTTTTTGATTGAACTAAGGACACCAGAATGCTGATAACCTAGAGATGGTATTCTTGCATTCAATGTATAATAGTTTATATATGATGATCTTGAAACACTTGAGTAATTGCATATGTTTGATTTCTGAATTGCTTTAGCAAAATTGGTTGGTTGCAGTAGATGCCACATATTCTGGTTGTAGTTCAACTGTGAAAAGCTGCCCAACTTCCACCAAAGATTGGAAGCTCGAAGTCTCATCATGGTACAATCTGCAAAATAAGGTATTTAAAACTTATCAAAAGTACTCTTGAAAGCCCATGATACAATGCAACTAGGTTAAAACGTACATGGTTTTATTGAGGTGTAATCACTCATGAATGGTCAATCGTAGCTTGAAAGTGGTCACTATTAGATAAATAGCTTGATTACATGAATGTATTATTTTATTGGATTGCAACTAAGATGTCATTGACCGATGCTCCCGTTTACTCCATTTGTGAAGCATACGGGTATAATGATAGTTGCATTTCTTTGAAACATGTTGTCAGAATACTGGCAATACAGCTGATAAGTACACAATAAATGTTATATATTGATTTTGTAATTCATAACTTATAAACATTTATGTAGAGGAAATCCCCTGCCCCATCCTGAAATCCCCTGTACAATAATTTGAAGAAAAAAGATTCTGAACCCGGAAGTATCAATTTGGGTGTCTAATAAACGTATTATCCACATTATGACAGTGGCAGTAGTATATTTTAGTGGAACTTTTCAATTCCCATGTTATAGCAATGGATAGAATGTGATCAAATTGAACAAATACCTGTAATATTACGTTTAGTTGTCGACAGGAATATTTTACAAAACAAAAAAGTAAGTCAAACTGATCTCGCGTGAAAAGTCATATGACTATCTTTTGAATTGCCTGATAGAGTTATATATGAGCTTTTCATGTAATCAATGTATTCAAACAAGTAACCTGTACACGAAAATTATATAAATAAAAGTAATTCATCATCTTAAAACTCATTAAACTCATATTTTTAATTGGTATCTCGCGAGATAAAAAATTATAGGATGGAAAATCGCCATATTGGAAAATGAGAAAAGTGAAAATATTTTGTCGGAAAAACTCTACTATGTATACATAAACACTCTGTCATGTGAGCTAAAACAAAGCGAGATCTATTTCAAATATTTATCTTTTATATGGATGCATTATTTAATGGATTTATGCTGACTCATCACTGAGACTTCGAAATACAAAAAATTTCAAGTTTTGAAAGTGAAAAAGTTTGTTTGTTTGTGCAACAAGTTGTGCTTACAACTTCTTATATCATTTCTGCAGTGACATCTGAAAAAGATTAGGCTATTCAGCCACTGATATATGAGGCAGACATTATTCAAATTGAACTTCTTTGTCAGCTATCAAAAGATGTGAGGATCTACTGTATCAACAATTGCCGTGTTTACGGCCTTCAATTTGGCAGTTGAATTTTATACAGTGGGATGAGGAAAATAGAAGATACACTAATTTTATATTCGAGATAGCATTTACTGCTTTCAAGAACAGTTTGTTGTTAGACAATGAAAGCATCATAACAGCAACTAAATTTATTTGTACATAGTAGATATAACCATTAGATATATAATACCATATGAATGTTGTGACTTGTGACATTGCAGCAGTAACTGTCGTTCTGAATTATGATATAGTGCAGCTGTTGTCGTAGCAAAAAGGATATTATAGTGGTAATTTGTAAATGTAAATAATATAGTACAGTGCACTCTATAGCGAAATACCATAGTACGATCTAAGCCGGACACAGTTATATTTTTGTAATAAAAAACATTGCATTTTACTGCCATAAAACTTGCAGACAAAAGTGAGACGCAACAGGATTATCTCTTGAACAGTTAAATTACCTCTGAGACAAAAATGATTCTCATATCTACTCAAGACCTTTCATGTTTGTTTGAGCTAAAATATTAATATTATGAACAATTTAAATCTCTCCAGGATCAAGTTATTATTAACAAAATGACAAGGTAGCACAGGGATTCAACGGTTATTAGCAGTATTTTTGAAAAGACACTATCGTCAGTACTACAGAAAAGGAGATTCTATTTGACGTGGAGGAGGTGTTTCTTGAGTAATTAGAGTAAGTTTTTAAGTTTAAGTGCAACTGCAAGGTACTGAAAATATACAAGGTGAGCACCATCTATCTGATCCTATATTTCTCTTCTATATGTGCGGAAGCTTATTGATGAATTTTGGTGGACCCCTAATTTTCAATCACAGAATTCAACTGTTTTAAAGTAATGTTTCAAGGTAAGTTTTAGTCTCAGAGGTCAGTAGGACATTCAATTGTACTAAAGGTTAGCTTCATACCTCAAGAGTCTGTAGATTGTTCAAATCAAGACACTCAGTTTTTCAACAATTTTGAAGACTCAAGTTTCTGAACATATTAAGGTCTGTTCATCCTAGGTACGGGATAGATGGTGCTGACTGTTGAAAAATAAGTCTTTCAAACCTAAAAATTAAGCAATCAAATGAGAACAATGCAACATGGAAAACATTTTAGTTACTTTCTGATTCTTTGAAATCTTATTTTTCAGGTTTGATAGACGCACATGTTATCTGACTTAGGTTTTATACCTGTACCCTGTTTTATATTCAGGGTTGAACTTATCCATTGGCTCATTAGCGAATTGTGGGCTGATTTAAATTCTAGAACAATCTACCTTAATATCTGGAAGGTTACATAACAATAGCACCCATTTGATATATGAAAATTATGATTGAGTATAATTTTTATGTCACCACCAGATGTTATAATCTCCAACTTTTTTGTTGTCAGTGTTTGGCATCTGTAACAGCGTCTATAGAAATTTTGGTCAGCTTCTATATAATAATAAATGGCAGGTGGTGACATTTTGCATGTTAATGCCTTGTTTTTAAATGCTAGGTTCTTAGACACTCACTGATTTGCTATAAGATAAATGAATATGATGATTCAAATTTACATTTGTTTGTAATGTACATGTATATTTTCAGGGTACCTTACAATGCTTATACATTTGTGATGGCTACTGCAAAGGCTCCGAAGCATGACTTTGCACCCGCATGGTTGAAGATTCCAAATGAGGAATCTGTAAGTAGAAATATTATTATATTATTAAGAATAAGAATATTTTATTTGTCTATGCTTTCATTACATTAGATATTATAGTATAACAATTTGTAGTTTTATATAACAAAAAAGGATAGGACAATAGGTTATTGCGATTCAAAGTCCTCTCCTGTTGGTCTAAAGATCACATAAATAAAAGTACTTCTAGGACAATGAGGTGAAAGGACTTTTTGGGGCTAAGACTGATCATCTGCTAGAAGTTCCCTGATGTCTTATCCCTGCTTTTGTTTATATTCGAAAAATGATCGAATTTACAGTCCTTAAATTCACACTTCAAATGGTATGCACTTTGAAAAGATACATGCTTCAAATCTTCCTAACATGTAATATTGCCATATTTAGAACTAAACAACATGTTTTTTTGGTATAATGATTAAGTTTGAATACTTGTAGAAGCCATCTGGTTCAAAGCAAGCTGAGCATCAGTCCAGTAGCAGTAATGGCAGTAAATCTAGTCACGGGGGTTCAAGACGCGAAAAATCGTACTCTGGTGGAAGTAACAATCGACACCCAGGGCCTGACTATGGTTATTTGCCACGGCAACGCTCATTTGACGCACCGTTTGAAGGTTTGTTTTGTTTTGTTTTCTTCATTCATTATGCAGCCAGTGTTCATATATCTGTGATTCAAAATCTGTCGGATAAAATGCAAAAGGTGCAACAAAATTTGCATTCTCATTAATCAGATTAATATTTCAAGAAACAAATAATAGATGTATTTTCAAAATATCAAATCCTAATTTGGCAAACACATATTTGCTCCAGACCGGGGGAGATATAACAACACCAACAGTCGTTTCCGACAGCACAATTCAGTAGATGATGATTACTATGGTTACTACAATGGTTACTATGGTAACAGTTACGGGTATGATGGATATGGCAGCCATCACTACAGATCTCAACCAATAGGGCTCCCAGTAAGAGGCATGGATGGAGGCAAATATCAACACCCGCATGCCAATTATCACCATCAGGTAACCATATCTTAAGAATTAATGAAAAAGTTGCACTTTTTTCAAAACTTATTTTTTTCAAATTTATGTCCTGTATTTAATTTTGAAATAAAATCAGAAAAATTGGACCTGAGATGAGGAGGGTAGAGTGGATTATGATTCCTCTCAACGATATCTTCTAATAATCACTATATAACTATTTATGCCATTTAAAGGAATGACAAATGTTTATTATAGGGTCCCCCTGGTCCACCAGGCTACCCTCCCTTCTATGATTACCCTCACGACTACCCCCCTCATGACTATCCCCCACACGACTACTATTATGGGGGTGAATCATTCTACAACTATGGTAGACCTGGAGGGAAGAAAAACTACTATGACAAGTCAGGGTCGGGGAAGACTGGAAAAGATCGTGAAATTAAAGAGAAAGCTGATGGAGAAGCGGTTAAATTGGAAGAGGAGTTTGTGAGTTGGTTACCTAAATATTTAGCTTCCAGGCTTTTTCTCGTGAAAAACAAATATATTTTATGTTACTTATGTTCTATTTGAAGCTTTGCATGTGATCCCATGTAGGGTTTTGATGAAATGGAATTTGGACTTTAAATTCTCTACCCTGAAAGAGCATAATTTGCACAACAAGTTTCAGCAGCACCTTGCTGATATTTAAACTATTTGTGGACCAAGATGTCTTAAAGATGCTTCTTTCTGGTGACCTTGAATTTTTCAGTGATAGAATGGATATTTCTTTTGTTACAGCCATCATTAAATGGAGAAGAAGCCTCTGAAGAAAAGGCTGCCAAGGTGAATGGTAAGAGTGTCTGGGATAGTTGCAGCAGCAAAGTCAAACGTGGAACATCTCTCTCACCAAAGAATGAACATAGCTCCCCTGTATTGTTAAAGAAAGAACTGCCCAACAAATCTCAATCCAGTTCTAACATGTATAAAGCCTTGGTGCCTAATAAGGTAAGATTATAAAGCCATAGTATCTAATATGGTGACATTAAATATATTTGCTGAATACAAAGTAAACCTAGGGATAATGAGTCATCTCCCTCTTAGACTATCTTGAGGGACAATTCATTTACTTTTGATGTTTTATAGTCAGATATTTTAAATCAGACATGCTAACTACTTCCTGTTTTTGTTGTTTTACTTCTATAAACTATCCCAAAAATTTATCAACACATGTAATATAAATTTATGGCTATCTCTATAATGTTATTTTAGATCCTCACTCGGAAGACAAGTCGTGAGACAATGAAAGTAAATGGTGTATTTTCTGGTAAAGACATCAACAGCAATGGTACCCATAAATCTGCCAACAGCACTCCAACTCCAAGCAACAGTGGACAGTCCCCTACCGTTACCCCTGCCATAGAGATACTCAACACTAGGCTCGTCACAAACCCAAAACCACTAGGTGACAAGAAGAGTGACTTCCTGGCAGCATTCAAGAACAGCAATAGTAAACACACAGATGATATGTCTCTTCAATCTGACCCAGCTTCTAAAAAGGTAGATATGCACATGATTTCTGCTTACTGAACAGTGTCTAATAGTTAAATGGCTATGTGAAAAGTTATAAATAAATACCAAAACACAAAACAAAATAATATGACATTTATTTGCTGAATAATATATTGCAAGACAATACAAACAAATAAGACTAAAGCAAAACAGTAGACGAGTAAATGGTTATTCATTTATGTTTATTCATCTAATTAAGTAATAATGTACATTCTCTCCAAGACCTAAATCAATTTACATGCTTGCAAGATAGGCCCAACTCATGAGTTTACTCGAGATATAGCTAACTCGTGAGTTGAAATAGATAATACGTTTCTAGAGGACAACTTAAGGCAATGTTTAGGCAGTTCTGACGAGCTAAACTCAAGTTACTGATTCTGGAGTTACACCTCTAGTAAATACATGTAGTACTCAACAATAAAAAAACCTTGGTTAACCCTTTGATTCTGCTCTATCCTTCTAATAGGTCTGATGATCTTTAACTGGATTAACTCTTTAATTCTACTTCCAGGGTGAGTGCAATAAGGAAGACCACACAGTTGGAGATTATTCAGAAAAGCTGGTCAATGGGGTGGATAGTTTGTCAGTGAAACCAGAATACCATATGCTCTCCAGCTCTCTAGAGGCTGAGCAGAGGTGAGAATTTTAATTCATTTATGATAGGCTAGTAGATACAATACTGTTAACATGGTTAAACAGTGCATTCTAGCTGTTTCACTTACTGAAGAGCTTTTTCTATTTTGGTCAAACGCAAAAATGTATCTCATCTTTTTCTTGGGATACTGTGCAAGATGAAATTTTTAATTGCTGGGTGAGATGTATAAGTTTTTCATTATCCCATCGAACGAAGTTCGGAGGGATATAGGGAACGCCTCCATCCGTCCGTATGTACGTACGTCCATCCGCCTGAAAAAGACAAATAAAATCAGAAGAAGTAAGAAGAAAACAACAGCAACTACAAATAAATTTTCAAGTTGGACTGAATGAAGATGACATGAACAGCATATAACTCAAATACCGTTTTTTGTTCATATTTGGTACACATATACCCTATTGGGGTAGAAGTTCTGCTCGAAAGCCAATTTTCAAAATGGCCGCTCATTTAAAAATGGCGGCCATTTTAGTGCCAATTTTACAGTAATTTTGGTGCAATATGTAAAACTGTAATACCAATATGTTTTAAATGTAAAAAAAAATATATAGGACATTAATAAATCTAGAAATGTAGATATTAAAGAAGCACATGGCAGCCATCTTGAAAAATGGCGGCCTTTACTCGTTATTTTACAATTTTTGCTGTAACTTGAAAAGTAGTTGAGCGATTTTGTTCATATTTGGTAAGTGAACACTATAAGCATGGCACACTGTCTAATGACACTTTTGGTAGAAGGTGGCCATTTTGAAAAATGGCCACCATTTTAACGTATTTTACTATAACTCGAAAAGTAGTGGAGCGATTTTGTTCATATTTAGTATGTGAATACTATAAGCATGGCACACTGTCTAATGACACTTTTGGTAGAAGATGGCCATTTTGAAATGGCTGCCATATTTGCTATATACAAATGATGGGATTTGCTATGCTTTGGCGTTGCTGTTGTCTAGTTGCATTTCTAATTGCTGTGCAAAATGTATTGAGTTTTCCATTGAATTTCTAATTGCTTATATGCAAAATATATTGACTTCTTCCATTGCGTTTCTAATTGCTGTGCAAAATATATTGAATTTTTCCAATGCATTTCTAATTACTGTGCAAAATATATTGAATTTTCCATTGCATTTCTTATTGCTATGCAAAATATATTGAATTTTTCCATTGCATTTCTAATTATTGTGCAAAATATATTGAATTTTTCCATTGCATTCTTAATTGCTATGCAAAATATATCGAATTTTTCCATTGCATTTCTAATTGCTGTGCAAAATATATTGAATTTTTCCATTTCAATTCTCCTTTTCGCGGTTCGCTCTTTGAATCAGAACGTTCGCAAATATGCACTGAAAAAGCACTCAAAAAGGACAAAATTTGATTGGTGAATATTTTCCCACTATGCATTTCGCGTAGCTATTTGCGTGACACGAAAGTTCTAAATCAAACTAATTACTCAATTTTGTTTTACACCCGCACGCTAAATAAAACAATGACACCATCGTAAGTATTCTTCTTTGTCATTGCTTTAATAGTCAGTATACCGAGTTTAATCAATAAAAGATTGTACAATGAACAACAAAATTCGGAAACGAGTACTATAGATTTGCTTTCGGACCACTGAACAGATTGACCTAGATAATAGCGACGCGTCTTCTTTGGTCTACTGCTCAGTTGTTTGTGGGTTTTCAACGTAACTCTATAATGTAATATGAAGATGAATACTTTTATTCAGTTGTTGCATCGATGTCGCAGTTTGTAGTGCGGTAAGATTGGCATGAAAGTATTGAAAGTCGAATGGAATTGTTTTTTCCAATATGGCGACTAGTCTACTGATCATGTGACCTTCTCTTCCGGAACCTTTTCTCACTTTTCAGTCATCGTTTTCACCACGCTATGAATTAATACAATGAAAAAAATAGCTGTTATATTAAGATTAATGAGAGATCAATCGTTTCTAATAATTTTTTCTGTACTCTCGTACGGGAATATGAACGAATATATCGTTTGAAAAATAGGTGTGAAAATCCCCATGTTAAACCTATGAGGGAAAATAAGGAAGTATAAATTTGTTCCTCCGCGAACTGCATCATGGGAAATATTTTGCCCTTATAAGGAAAGATTTTCGCGTCTTCTCTTTTGAAGAGGGAACAGCAATTTCGACAATTCTAATTACTTTGCAAAATATATCGAATTTTTCCATTGCATTTCTTATTGCTACGCAAAATATATTGAATTTTTCCATTGCATTTCTAATTGCTGTGCAAAACATTTTGAATTCTGCCATTGCATTTCTAATTGCTATAAAAAATATATTGGATTTTTCCATTGCATTTCTAATTGCTTAGTTGGATGTATTGGGATTTTCCCTTGTGTTTCAGGTTGCTGCGTGAGATGGGTTGGAATGAAGCTGATCAGGAAGAGTACGTGATCACAGAAGATGAAATGAAGGAATTCCAAAACCTCACAAAACAAATCAAACAGCAGAAAAATGGACTAAGTAAAAACCTAGCTAAGCCTTGGACCCCCCTTCAGCAACAAGCAACCGTTGACCCTGAGAAGATAGAAACCATTAAGAATGAAGCCTTAAGTAGTGATTCTGATTCAGACATGGACTGAATATAACCGAATATTGTGGCCCTTTGCTATAGTAACAAGGAAAAATAGGTTACCAAAGCAGCAAATGTAGTGGCTATATTGTTTTTTATAATCCTTCCAGCAAGCAACATTGCTGTTCAAACCATATGTTTTTCTGTATTTTTGAAGTATTTTTTCATTATAATGACAGGTTTAATTTGTGCGCTACATAGTGACATTATTTCAGTGCATAGCTGACAGTGATCATCTATGCTTATTATTGGATGCAACATTTGTGAGGGATTAAGTGTTAGGTGGAAGTTTATTTGTGATTTGTATATTGAAATACACAAGTAATATTGTATACAAACGTTTGATTATCATATGTTAGTATCTCTATATATGTGAGCACTTGATATGAACCATGCATGAGCACATGTTCCATAAAGAAACACTCAAATTGTTGAATTCAGTGATTAACAAGCCAAACATATGATATATGAATGTTGTACTGAGGGAAGGTGATTATGTTATAGACCATAAATGATACGGGACACTTGATTCAACATGTTCAAAATTGAAGGCAAGATGAATACATAATTCTGTACAATTTAATTCCTTCATTTTTCTTTTGCTCAATATATCTTTTAATGATCATACCTTTGATACAAAGGTAACATTTGGCCCATATATATATCCCATATACAAAATACAAAAATTGATCAAGACATGCTCCTCCAGATCAATCAATTAACGAAATAGGGATAGTTGTTTGCTCTATATTCATGATTTCAATTTTTGAGTAATTTTATTACCCATGCTTCAGTTTTGAGAAATCATTTTTGATGTCCTGATATATTTGATTACATATTGCAACTTTGCTTATTGCTTGTATAGCAACCTACATGTACATGTACCACTTTCTATAACTTGAGTTCACACCTGTTTGTTTTCAATTTCATCTTTGTTTGAATAATGTGTGATCGTAGACTAGTTAAAACAATATGTTAACCTGAAGTTGTTTTTTGTATTAATGATGATCAACTATCAGAATTTTAAGCATTTTCTTTAATGAGCATAATTCATAAGGAATAATAAGTGATTTGGTTATGAGCTGTATATAACTGGTATTGAGCTATATCTGCAGAGAGGCTAGTTCAGCTACAAATGTAGAGCTAAAAGAAGAATAATTGCAAGTGCACACTTATAATGTATAAGTGCACATTATGTGGACAAGTGCACATTGTATGCATAAGTGTACATGAAATGTACAATAGTACATTTACCTGTACAGGTGTACACTTTCAAATGTATGAGCACTTCCTACAGTAATTTGTGAAGTATGTAACTTGATGTGTGAATTATAAATGAAGAGGACAATTAGTTTATTACACACTTAATTTTGATCAGGCTATGAATATGGTGTGGATATATATTCAACATTTTGTGGATACTATTGGACATTTGAAAGCAATGCAGTATAATCACAAGTCGAGCCTGTTTGAAGAGGCGCTTAAATAATGAGGCTGAAATATCTCCAAGAAAGTTACAAATGGAGGAATTATTTTTGCAGCCATTTCAATTTAATAATAAAAAGATTTTTGCATTGAAACTTATTCAGCATTTTCTGTTGGTTTATTGTCTCAACAAGTTTGTGTAGACATGCCTAATGAAGGACCCATGGCCTTGTAATCACACAGTGAATTGTAACCACATTATGTTTGCAAAGAACTAACTTTGTTCAGAAAAACCTCTTTTTGTCCAAATTACATGAATACTAAGTCGTTAAGTTACTCAGACTTATAATTAAGTAGGCATTGATGTCGGAAGGGGGAGGGCGTTGGGGGCAACCGCCCCCCCCCCCCTTTCCCAGATTTGAAACCAACCCTAGAATTGAAAGCTCTATTTTAGTAACAGTCAAAGTTTTTTTTAGTCAAAGTCAAGTTAAAAACACAATTTTTTCTTGTTTTTATTATTGGGAATATTGTTCTGAGATATGTTCAGAATGCACCAGAGAGGGTTTAAATTCGAAAATTCTCTGGGGGCATCCTCCTAGATTGTGCGCTTCACGATCGACCCGTTCATACCAAAAAGTCGCCCCTTCCCTTGGAAAATCCTTCTGACGCCCCTGGTAGCTACTAAGTTAATGAGGCAGTACACTTAGTTACTTTAAAATAATTTTCAATCACAAAACCGCCATTGACTGTATACATGAGAAAGTTCCCTGAAAATGACAAATCCAAAAAATCAACTTTTTTGACCTTTCGAAGGTTGTATGTACAATGCAATACACTATAAACTGTTTTATTAACTGTAAGATTACACCATATATTCCCCAAAAAAATTTCTCATTTTCAAAGATAACCTATGAATTAACACCCAGGTATTTTTATTTCCGAGGGCTGGGAATCATTGATAATCAACACTTTTGAAGAATATAAATGCTGTTTTAAAATAGGTTTTATGTTAGCCAATAATTTCTCAAATTATGTAACCCTTACACATTCTTAAATCCCCTGAATATTTTCTTGGAGGAATTTCTCATAGAATCCAATGGTTAGTTCAAAGCAGATTGTTAGATAACAGGAAAGTAAATCTTGCATTAGTTTATATCGGGGATGTTCAAGAGGAAGTGTTTTTGGCTTTATATTTTGCAATAAAATCTGTATACCCCAACAACTCTTAATGCGAAGATCTCTCAATGTGAACATGAGACATGGTTATGGTCTCCAACTTTTTTGTGGATGGTGTTTGGTGTTCAACTATTGGTGTTGGCAATTGGTGTCTGTACCAAATGGCAGGTAGTGACATTTTGCATGTAATGCCTTGTTTCAATATGTCAGAGACTACCATGTTAAAAACCTCAAATGTAAACACAATTTAATATTTGGCTGGTACAAATGGCATTCTGATTAGACAGGGTTTTCTTTGTGGCCAAGCCTACAAAAAGTCTGGATCAACCTCATTCGTTTTATGGGAGAGGGGTCAATGGAACTGATTAAATTAACATTTTCGTGATTGAACAAGAAATTGAACTCTTGAGCAAAAAAGAATTTATTGTTCCATCTTATGACATAGCTTTCTCTGCATCTTACAGACTTAACAATTTTATAAGAACTCCTGTATCCATACTTGGCACTTCATTGATGCACAATGTGTATTTCACACCTAATGCTCAACAAATACTAAATGAAGAATAATATTCTAACATCAGGACTCACAATGATGCAATACACTTTTTCTTAATCTACATGTAAGTTTATTATTGGGCCTGAGATAGAAAATGTTAACTCGAGTGCATGTAATATTACAGAACAACTTGGCTACAGTAAAAAGTACGCTGATCAAAGAATGTTTTTGTAGAGGGATATGCAAGTCACATTTACCATAAATGCATGGAACTTATACATTATGCATGTGGAATCACATAATGCTAATGAATCTCTGAAAGTGCTATATCCTAGCCTTGTCTCAACAATAAACAATGATACAGACAATTATTACAAGATGTACAAAAATAAGCTTTATTAAAGCAATCTACACTAAACATGAATTTTTATCATGAATACATCTCATGAGGTAAAACACATGTGCATAGGCACTGCCCAGTCTGCAATAATTACGTACAAATACAATGATCTACTCAGCATTAAAGCAACTGGGCACAGCACCCAACTGAGATTTTAAAAACAGTCTTGCACCCACCTGACAATCCATTTGCCCAAATGAGAAAAATGATGAAAATGGGCATATCTTGACCAATTTTGGTCTGAATTGAGAAAATGAGAATTTCTAACCCACTTAAAAAAATCTCAAGGAGAATGCTGGAATTGTATCATGTCTACTCTAATTACCAAAAAGTATACTGTATATCATAGATACACATACACGCTTCATTAACATATACAGGCCTAGATGATAAGTCACATCCTAAAGACAGCCAACTAGGTCTCTTTCAATTATCCAAAAGAATAAAAAACATACAGTCCCATCCAGTGAGTGATCTTACTATCCCATAATATCAAGTGAAATCAAAGTTTTACTGAAAAATGAAAATGACCCAAATTCTGAAGTTTTTGTACTATATGGGATAGGCATGTATTACATAATTGCTGACTGATTTAAGTTCAATCAAATAATTTGCCTGGAACTCACTCTCCAAATGCAGGGATTCAGAAGTTACTTCGTTCTTCCCACCGACATACAGAGTGATCACGAATCTCCTCCATATGCATTGCTCTCGGTCTAGCTACTTGTATATGGATTTATTCATAGGTTTGACTACTTCATTTCAAACTTAGCACCATGGATGCCAGGTGTGTTTATGTGGATTTAACTGGCAGATTCAAAATTCAGAATCTATCTCCTTTACTCAACGGACTAGTCTAAGCATCCATTTCTCTCCTTTAGGGCTTACATTGCCTTGTTCATGTTGCTAGGTATCCATTTTTGCTCCTTTAGGCTTAACATTACCTTGTTCATGTTGCTAGGTATCCATTTTTGCTCCTTTGGGCTTAACATTACCTTGTTCATCCTCCTCCGTCACTTCCATTCTTGCACAGTAGTTATGTTCATCTTTCCTCAATGAGATAGTATGTTTAAATGTGTATCGAGTTACTTCATAGAATCCTGGGCAATAACCACTACTCTGGGAAGGTATAGTCACAGTGGAAGCATTGCTTGAGTTTGAGAGTCCTTGGGCTTGAGTCTGTGAACCCTTAATATCATGAGTATTTTTGTACTCAACTAACGCACGCCATATTTTGCTCCTATGTCCTTCACCAATCTTCAGCTTATCCAAGTCCTGAAGAAATCAAACAACTTTAAGATTATGCTTGGAAAACATATCATATCAGAAAAATGTATTATGATTTTTTGAGTGTTAAAACAATGCAATTCATATTTGAGATTTAATTGAAATTTTTTCTCTCAAAGTGACAGGAAAAATATGGTTAATGATGTACTTATTTGGGATACTTGTACATAAAAGCATTGTATGTATATCCATGAACAAAGATGCACATTGAATGTTTAAAATATCACAAGAGAACTTCAAATAAAAAGCCAGATACACATTGTGACAATGAAATTTAAGTTGATAATGCATCACATGGACATAGAAGGATTTATCTTAGTACCTGTTGCTGCATATCTTCTAACTGGTACATGAAGTTGTAACCACGAGTTTTGAACATATCTATGTACGCAGGCAACTCAATATTCTTCAGCCACCTGAAATGTACCATAAATAGAGATTTACCACATGTTTATAATACCATATACATTCATAAGACCATATACAGTAAAACCTGTCTAAGTGGTACACCTTTAGTACCTCTAAAAGGTGTTCCACTTGTGAGGTGTTCCACTTATAGAAGTTCATTTAACATGAAGTTAGTTGGTCTTGGGGCTCTGTAAACTGTTCCACTAACAGATGTGTTCCACTTATAGAAATGTTCCACTTTACAGGTTTCACTCTATAAGGTTCTACAGGTTTCTATAATGTAGAAATATATGGGGGACAACTCATTTTGATACAGTAAATGTTCTATTTAGAGTATGTGTATAATTAAATATTTGTATTCCAAAATACCTCTTCCCATTCCATCGACTATCTGAGAATGTGGAATATTTGGATGGTCTTGTGTAGGGCAAAAGATCAAACTAAATGTACATAACTGTATAGGGTCTTAATACAGAAAACCTGCGAACAAGGAATGCTCTCTGCACTGGCCAATATTGTTGGCTCAATAATCACACAAATATGTACAATTATGGAATTGTAATTAACAGTGGTAGGGATGTCACAGCTTGTCAACATTGGACTTATCTTTATCTCATTCATATTAATCCAAGCTCTTAAAAATCACATATTTGCTTAATAAGCCATTCGAACTGCTGGAAAACAATAGGATGTACAGGGAAAAAAATTCCCATGTTCCTGTGAATATGTGAATTTTAATAAGTTGCCCTAACACACTGCTTCTTGTTCTGAGGAGACATGAGTTCCTCGCAGAAAGGTGTTTCATTGGACAGGCTTATCTGTAGTGTCATAAAGATTCAAGAATACATACAATTATGTTCAAACGATAATATCATTATTTTAATTAACAGTTATAGTATATAAAATATACAACAAAACAAAATTCTGTTCTTACATTTCTACAGTATCAATGGGTTGTGTGCTGGTAATAGGTGGACTTTGCTGATTGGTTGATGTTGAAGGAGATTGTGAACTGGATACCTCATTGGTCTCGGTCACTTCTGGCTCAATCTTAATCCTATGTACATCTTCAGTTATCTTTGCTGGTTGAGCATCAAGTTTCCCATCAATCTGGTCGAAAAACTGGCTCATCCCAAAGCTGGGTATGCTTGGTAGGTTTGATAAGCCTGGTAAGGAGGGAAGCTTATCTAGACCAAGGGATGGAGGCCTATCTAACACTTGGTTAATGGGAGTGGGTGTACTGAGGCCTTGTTGACTGCTACTGGGAATTGACAGCTGACTGTTCATGGTCATCCTGGAAAACATAGAGATTTGCCTCATAAATAAACATTGTTTCAGTTTTGAATTATTCAGAGCATAGCACAAATATGGAAGGAGATAACAGTGGTGTGATATAGCAGGGATTTGCTGTCAAGGAAAATGTATCAATACAATTATTTTCAATCAAAAATATTACCAATTTTGCGACCATACAAAGATTCTTAGATTCATGTAGAGAATTGAAGGATTCATGTCTATAAAATATTTTTTAGATTATAGTGAGAAATAAAATATCAAAAATGAAGAAAACTGGTTATATTTAAGCTATTGCCTGGATGGACAATTGACTGATTGAGTGCTTCAGTTTATCTGTGTTGTGTTGTATTGACATTATTGATAAACTTGTTGGTACGATTGCAGAAACAGCTAAGCAAATATATCTATTTAGACATTTTTTTGTCCCATGGCAATTTCAAAAGAAGATTAATGGTAGGCATTAAGCATTTATGTTAAACTACCTATGTATTGTCGCAACCATAGTTTTCAAAAGTTTACCTGGGAATAAAAATCACACCAAAAACAACAAAATTGTCTAGCTAAATAAAAGGCTGGAGTCTCATTGTTTTTTTATCCTGACTAGTTTATACCTCGACAAATGAAAACAGGATGATGTGGATTCATACAGGTATATTCACACACCCGGTGATCTTACAAAATGGATGGAGGGGGAGTAGGCGATTTCTGCAAGAAAACTCAACAAATTTGGAAGATTTATTTTTTCAAGAGAAAATTTACAACTGCATTGCCGAATGAATAGGCGCAGTGCATGGCAAAATATGTTAGGTCTTCTAGTATTTTTTTGAACTGATATGCTTCTAAGATATGAGATCTATTAAAAAAGGTACATCATCACCAACGTGCAAAAGTCAATGTTTTTGCTATAAATTAGGCAACAATGGTCTACACGACCTGTAGTAACGTGTATATAAGACATGATAAGACATGCTACTTGAATTTATTCTTATAACTCCAATTTTTCCCATTTTTCATTCTCCAGAGATATAATATCCAGTTTCTTACTGGGGAACTGAGTTTAGTTTTTTCAAATACACAAGTTTGTTTGAACTTGATCCATCGTAAAGACATAACTCCCCCCTCCATCCAATATTAATTTATTTCAATTATTTTTTGTATAACGCATGGAAACTAACTTTAAAAAGTGAGCCTTGTTATTAGTGTCGTGATAATAACGTCCCTTATACCTATTTATTACAGGTTGTGTAGACCATTGCTGCCTGATTTATAGCAAAAACATTGACTTTTGCACGTTGGCGATGATGCACCTTTTTTAATAGATCTCATATCTTAGAAGCGTATCAGTTCAAAAAAATACTAGAAGACCTGACATATTTTGCCATGCACTGCACCTATTCATTTGGCAATTCAGTTGTAAATTTTCCCTTGAAAAAATAAATCTTCCTAAGTTGTTGAGTTTTCTTGCATAATGCAGAATGGACCAAGGTTATCCCAGTCTGATTGTTATTAATATCTTTTTTGAATTATATGACTGAATTGATCATCGATATGTGAAATGCTAATTGCTAATAACAGTCGAGTCAAATCAATAATACATTCAAACTGAAACAAATTTAATCGATGTACATGTTTACATGGACTGCAATTCTTACAAGCATGTTGCAACAAGTGATACGAGATAATAAACTTGAAGAAACCATGAAGACAGGATAATGAGAGGATGGATCATAGCTGATGATGGATATTATATACAACAGGACTATGAAAAAGAGATGGCACATGTATGAGGAAAGATGCAAGCAAACAGTTCTGCTCTGTTTCATTGTTGCAACTATCATATACCTCTTCACAGTAAGAAATTCATCATTTTGAACATCACATGGCAAAAATGCCTAGGCAGGAGTATTGTCTCCTCTTGGCAAAATTTAGACCTATGATGGGATGTAATGTCATATTAAGAATTCTGAATCAAGTTAAGATCCTGAGTCCGTAAGGCATCAAGCTATAGAATTTGGACCAGATCTGACAAATGGTATTTCTCAGAAATTATATTTCTTCTGATAACTGGCAACAACTTTGAATTCAGCAGCAATCTTGGAATTCCTTCTTGAAAAGAGTCCTAGCCTAATAAGGCATCAGACCACAAAATCTGAACAAAAACTGGCAGCACAAATATAACACAAGAACACAAATGTGTACAAAATGTCCCCACCTGTGGGTGATCCTGTCAAATGGTTATATCCTAAAAATGAGTAGACAAGACTTTACCGACACAATTTGATGACGGAAAATCCAAAATGGCCACCTTAAAATTTACCTAGAATGCCAAAAAACTAATCAGATCTAGATTTTCATTCTAAGAATCATCCCTGAAAATTTGAAATTGATCTACAAAACGGTTCACCTAAAAACGCGTAGACAAGACTTTACGGGCAGGATTTTAAGACGGAAAATCCAAAATGGCTGCCTTGGCATTTATCCAGAATGCCAAAAAAACTAATCAGATCTAGATTTTCATACTGAAGAATCATCCCTGAAAATTTGAAATTGATCTACAAAACGGTTCACCTAAAAACGCATAGACAAGACTTTACGGGCAGGATTTTAAGACGGAAAATCCAAAATGGCTGCCTTGACATTTATCCAGAATGCCAAAAAACTGATCAGATCTAGATTTTCATATTAAGAATCATCCCTGAAAATTTGAAATTGATCTACCAAACGGTTCACCGGGAAATGCGTAGACAAAACTCTACAGACAAGATTTTAGGACGGAAAATCCAAAATGGCTGCCTTGGCATTTACCCAGAATGCCCAAATACTAATCAGATCTAGATTTTCATACTAAGAATCATCCCTGAAAATTTGAAATTGATCTACAGAACTGTTCACCTGGAAATGCGTAGACAAGACTTTACAGACAATATTTTAGGACGGAAAATCCAAAATGGCTGCCTTGACAATTACCCAGAATGCCAAAAAACTAATCAGTTGTACATTTTCATATTAAGGATCATCCCTGAAAAATTGAAATTGATCTACCAAACAGTTCACCTGAAAACGCGTAGACAAGACTTTACAGACAAGATTTTAGGACGGAAAATCCAAAATGGCTGCCTTGACATTTACCCAGAATGCCAAAAAAATAATCAGATCTAGATTTTTATACTAAGAATCATCCCTGAAAATCAAGAATTGATCCACCAAACGGTTCACCTGAAAACACGTAGACAAGATTCCACAGACAAGATTTTAGGACGGAAAAATCCAAAATGGCTGACAATAAAAAAGTGATCATGAGTTTTTGCTGATTTCTTTTTACAAAATTATCACATATAAATACTGTTAACAACAACATAGGCTTTAACAACAAAGTACATCTTAAATTATTTATAAAGCTACTAAATAGTTAGAATATGAAAACTCAAAAACACCATTCAATATGATACAAAGTATTATCGTGCGCTAACTTTTCTTAAGACATTCAAAATGGCTGACATGACTGAGCTAACAGGTCCAAAACCTAATCAGATCTAGAATGAAGTGAGCTGAACAAGATGTTAAAGTTTTAAAAGCAACTGTGAAGCCGTTTTTCTTAAAGTTTGCAGACAAGGATTTTAGCATTTGACTTCAAAATGGCCGACAGGAAGTAGGTATCGAGTTAATTTCTGAAAATTTGAAGGTGATATCTGTAGCGGTTTTGGAGAAAACTCCCGGACGTACGTACGGACAGACGGACGGACGGACAGACAGGCGGACAGACGGACGCGCCTAGGCCGACAATATGGCCCCACACTATGTTTTGGGGACATAAAAATGATTTTATATTAAAACTCAATACTATTGACTAAAAATACTACTACTTTGAAGAGATCTCAAAATTAATGGAAATTGAAGTTATTGACAGCTATTTTGGATTTTCAAAACCAGAATAAAACAAGGCATTAACATGCAATATGTCATCACCTGCCATTTGTTACAGACCCTGAACTCTGAACGGCAAGTGCCATCACAAAAAGTAAGAGACAATAACAATATGTTATCACTCTTAGGATTGACATAAAATTGATACAATATTTGCAATCTACTCTAATATACCTTTCCTTTGAGTACAATGAGGCTTAAGTTAGTAGGATCTCAAAATTAACGGAAATACTTGTTTTCTGGATGGCCTAAACTTTTGGCGAAACTTCCTGCAATTTTTGAAGTGGTCACCATTTCAAAAATAAAGTTGTGCACATGTACAACTATTTATCATTTTATATCTTTCTACCAAACATGAATTAAATCTGTTCAATAGTATTTGAGTAATTATCTGTATGGACAGACATACTGACAGCTAAGACAGATGGATGAAAGGACGGACACAGGGCTTACTACGTGAATTTGTTCGTTGAAATAATTATGTTACACACTAGAAAATAATGTTTATAAATTTTACAGTTAGCTAATAAAGAACCTGGGAAACCTGAGAAATCTTATAACGGTGTCATATTCTTCAAAACTATCACAGAGAAGATACCTAACTCAGCTGTAGACAAGGATACAGCACTTGTGACCGAGGAGTGGTTCTTCACGTGGCTTGAAAAGACGCAAGTTCATTGTGATGATGTCATACGTATTGGGAACCAACAAGATGGAGGCTGGAACATGTGTGTATCTGGCCCATATAAGCCTCAAGAAAAATGCTTAGTCTACTCATTTGGGTAAATTTTAGTCACATCTCAATCTTGATTAGGTTGCAACTACATCTGACTGGGGCCAACTACTTTCTATCTGGGTCTGCTTATTTATATGCTAAAACCAAAAAATGGCGTCATTTTGTTATAGTCAGTCACCTTTTTGAAGCATTCAGGGTTTGATATTTTCCATCATTTTGTCATGTAAAACCCTTGTTTCAGCGAGTAAATCTTTAATTACTTTTTTTCATGCCTTCTTTAATACATGTTTTATATTGAATTACAATGTACACTACTTTAATTTTCTACTTGAATTACTTTCTAGGATAAACAATGATTGGTCATTTGATGATGATGTAACTTCACGATTTTCCTGTGAAGTACATTCATTTGATCCCAGGTATGAACAATTTAATATACAAAAAAAAACACATTTAATCTGAAGCATGGACCATTTACCCTCAGGAATAAATCATTTTAACCTAGATGTGAAACATCTTTCATCCAATGTTAATGGAGCATTATTTGATCAAAGATAAACTATTCAATTAGCTATCAATAGTGTAGATTGAAGACTGACTTATCCTGCAACATTTTGTAGTATGAATATGAGCGACCATCGTAGGTCTGAGACTATCTACTTCCACAGTATGGGATTGAGTAACAAGGACTATGTAACACTAGAGGGTTGGCCTATGATGTCCTTCTCATCTATTCTAACAGAACTCAAGCATGAAAAGGTATCAACAGTTTTACAAACACTTCTCTTTATATGCATTATCTCTCTAGCTATCAAAATGTCATGGGATGTATGATATTCTAATATAATCAACAAAGATGAGCTAGTTTTAATTTTATGTCATAAACATAGGGACATTTTTCACACACTAAGACAATTTTTTGAGAATTTCCTACAACTTTTCCTTTTGTTCTCATTCATTTTGCCTGTTGTTCTCATTCATTTTGCTGATTTTTCTCATTCATTTTACCTATTTTTTTCATTCATTTTGTCTGTTGTTCTCATTTATTTTGCCTGTTTTTCTCACATTCATTTTGCCTGTTGTTCTCATTCATTTTGCCTATTTTTCTCATTCATTTTACCTATTTTTCTCATTCATTTTGTCTGTTGTTCTCATTCATTTTACATATTTTTCTCATTCATTTTGTCTGTTGTTCTCATTCATTTTGCCTGTTTTTCATCCATAAATAAACCTGTGCAATGAGAGTTGACTTAATAAATTCTATTGTTGCAGGCCATAATGGACATGTTAAAGATGGACATTGAATACAGTGAACATGAAGTGCTCCCAGACTTGTTTGCAGAGGGAGTACTGCAGAACATAAAGCAACTTGCATTTGAGTTCCACTTCAAACCAGGCCTCAGTCCCGAGAGATACAAATCATTCTACACGACACTTAGTAAATTAGAAACACAATTCAACTTCAGGAAGTATCTATACCATAGGAATGAGGTCTGTAGTGTATTCTCACCCATAAAAGATATAAAACGTTCAGGATGCCATGAGTTGTATTACATAAACCTGGATTACATGTGACATCTTCATTGGATGGATGGAATCATACTCTAGATGGATAAAATCAGTATTATAACTGAACTGATGTATTGCTCTAATGATTTAAGTAAACAAGCACACACAAATATAGATCTATACAATTTATTTATAAGATTTTTTTGTTTTTGCATTTTCGTTTGTACTTTTTTTTGGTAAAGTACAAAAATATAAGACACTTGATATAGTTGATATATAATTACCCAAGTACTGATATTCCTCAGTAGAACACAGGAATGATATCAAGCAGAATAACAACTGTTACTTATTACCTATGAGATAAACTTGTTTATATAAAATAACATCACATTGATTCAAAATATTTTCTCTATAAATAAAATAAAGTATTTTTGTTCTTAATTTCATGAACTTGGCTCATTGGGTTAATGATTAGTTCAACATTATTTCTACCATATAATAATTAAAGTATTTATAATTCTCTTGTAAAAAGTGATCCAATACTTCATATCAAAGTATAATTATTTAATTTCAAACACTTCATATATACTGTCCTTTATATATGATCGTGATAGAATCATCAAACAAAAGCCTCTTTTGCCAAAAACTGAGGATAACAACCCGTCTTTAATACACTAAAATAAACATGCACCAATTAAAAAATTTCGTTTAGTAATAATACACTTAACAACTGTGAAATTTAGAAAAAAAAGAGTAAGAGACAAATCAACATTTGACATTTTGTCGAAATACTGTTACGTATACTTAATGTTTTAACATTATGGCAGTTTTTGAGCTATTGAGTATAATCCATAACTGGCTATCAATTGAGCGAATTTTAATTTCAATGTACTGTACAAACATAACATTTATGAAATACAGAATCTCACCCATATCATTCATAATATTTTTATAATGTTCAGTCAAACTACAATCACTGGTGATCCGCTCAATTACGTTACGTTTGTCACCGAAACAAACTGTTTCGGTAACCAGCGTAGTGGATCACCAGTGTACAATGTTCCATGAAACATAGCTAAAATTGCAAACTCAAACCATCACTGGGCCACAGATGATGGACTTAAGCAATGTTGAAATTGAACTAAAAATATTGGCCTCAGAGATGTTTGGATTTACTGGTTTTGTGATATATTATATACAGAATATACAGTTGAACCTCACTGTTTATGTGCTTGAATCTGATAATGTATACCAAACAGCCATCATTACACATTCACATGATCCATATATTGTACAGTGATACTGGAATCATAGACATTGTTTAGGCAAAATTGTTTGGCAATATTCTACATAGAGTCAAAGACCCTCTCATACTTTAGGATAGAGGGTGCAGTTATCGCTATAAATGTATGACATACATTCTCATCTATCCTAACTAAAATCCATTTGAGTAAAGCACCAATTTGATGTGTTATGACTTATGATAGATGCTATGATATAAATGGGAGATTGGAACAACATAATACTTGTCTGAACACATAGCAGAACACTGAATGGTATGACTATAATACCAAAAAAATCAAAAACATTCACTGTTATTATGAACACATCATAAGTATAGCTAATGACCTACACTTCATATAAAAGTATAGAACCTTGTAATTACTTTTGCACGATCATGAATATATTTTTTGAGATTTTAAGCATTTATCTTGGGTCCTTTTAATACAGAGGACAGCATTTACTAAACTATGTCATGGTACCTCCAGTTGAATTAATCTACCATTTTCTAGTTATTTGTTTCCAAACATTGATTATTGGGTCTCATTGAAACATGGTCCCTTATATAATAAGTAATACTCAATATTTTAAAAATGGATAGTTTTATCCGATGCCAAGGCTCTAGACATCCAATATCCAAATATCTAGCCCAGCAAATTAGTCAAACTTATATGATTCCAAAAATGGAAAACCAAGACAGAAGATGATGCTTAGTTTCCTCAACTCTTCCTTCAAACTTATCTTTATTATGTCATTTTAGGGGAATCCCCTGTAAAAAGCTCGGCTTTTTGACTTCAAATACAATTGACCAACCATACTCAAGTATTTAGATTGAGAAACCAGCAGTAGATTATCCAACCTTTGAAAAACCTAGCATATAGGTACGATTGGAAGGCACGTTGTATGTTTGGACTGAGTATTGTTATGTAAGTTGCTCAAAAAGTACAAATGTTATCAAACGTCCCCTTTTCCTTTCAACTGTCATTAAAATCACTGCATTTTAAATTTTGGAAGAGTTCTTCCTTGAAGAAGCCTGGTTGGAAGAGTTCATCGCTGGAGTAATCTATGGCCTCGGTTGATGGCAGTGAATCAAGGGACGGAAGGCTCTCCTGTGAAGGAGGTCCAATAGGTCGAACCTTTTTCATCAGTTTTTTTCTTTGACTATTTGGCTTTTCTTTTTCCTGTGAGGAGTTGGGAGTTTTTGGTTTACGGCCCCGTTTTTTTGGCAGTTTTTTAGCAGAGTGGGAATCTAGTATTTCACCAACGTGCCTGAAACGATGCAAGAAAATGGAGGATTAATTTACATTCCCATGTGATTTCAATTTATCTATACAAATAAATTGAAATCAAATGAAAATATCTTTACAAAAAGAATAGTATTAAATCATGTTTGATTGAAATTCTTAAACCTTCAGAATACATCATTTAATGATTGCAAAAATAATTTGGAAGTTCTTGCATCGTTTCAAGATATTTATCTTAAGGAATAGTTATATGGGTAAGTAACTTAAAGGAAGGTTTAGCCAAAATATATTTCATGCTGTTATACCTACAGTAGTACACATTTCTTGCAATTTGTGTTTACAACTAGTTTAATGTAAAAATCAATATGGATTTTAGGAGTTACAAACATATTTTTGAATTTATTTGATATATTGAAATATTTGTACACAAACATCACCAATGGCTTATAAAATCTCAAAAGTAAGCACACATGGATCTGTTCTACGGTGAATTATATCTTATCCTTACTCAGTCCCCGTGCAATATAACTTTTGATCAAGTCATATACTTTATTTGCTTCAACTTTGATTACATTTTGCCTTTTCATTTTATACTCTGCCTCAGTGACTAGTTGTTACTCTACAATGGGTGTTTACACTATGAGAAGTTGGATCTATATCTTAGTGGTCCAGACTGAACCGATGACTTCTACCAGCTCTTATGTGGCTACCCTTCTGTGCACCAAGGGAGTATTCCAACCTCAATTCAACAGACATATGAAGTCCACAATGATTTAACTCACATGCCAACTTTGAACCAGCTGTTTTTACAAAATATTGTTTTGCAATGTGTGGAATACACCAACCTAAACATGCTTGGTACAAAACTATGAAGTTACATGTATTATCTACATAAAGGATTCTTCTCATACCAGTGTCACATTAAAGTTGTTCTCAATAACTCATGTGTTACACACGTTCATCCAGAGGTAAGGAGATTCAGTCAAATCTAGTGCCTGTGAATAATTCTATAACTTTCCCATTTCATAACATATCTCTTCTTGCAATTCCCAAGGGCTCATCCCAAAAAGATGACAGTGACAATATAATTGGGCTACTACTCACCTTCTGTTTATTTCATCGTAATCTCTGTTGTGTTTCTCCACCTCTGGTTGGGGAACTTTGGATGCTAGCTCCAGGGAGTCTCTCAATTTCAGAAGAACTTCATAGTTCTCGCGTCCCCGCACCTGTAAAGTAAACAAAAAAACACATGAACTTGCACAAATAACTTCAGAAAATAAAGATATTGCATTTTCTAACCCAAGATATTCATCTCACTCTTAAAGACCTACAAAAAGGTCCTTTTATACAAGTACTATAGTAATACTCAAAGACGATGATAATACATAATTTGTCCAAAAAATGTGTCAGCTCATCCAATGTTATCACTGCAAATGAAACATTCAGCTTTTTTGAGCTTAACTACTTACATGGAGTGTGAAGACCTCTTCATCTTCTAGCTTTCTTTTCTTTGCAGGTGGTCCAACAGTAGTCACTACTTGGTTGACTCTCACATTCTTGCCTAAATAAATTACAAGTTTTGGCAGTGAGTCTCTATGCATCAAAGAATTAATTAATCATTGCCTATTGCATAGTCATACAGAGACTATTTTGACTATCTGTGAGATTTTTTATATGACTCCAAGAAAATGCTATTAGTAGTCCATATAATAGATACATATAATGCCTTGGTCACATTTGCTCCGATTCATCGGCCGACGCCCTGCTGATTGAGTATTCTGTTCAAAACTGAATACAATTGTGAACAGGATACTCAATCGGGTGGGTGCCAGCCGATGAATCGGAGCAAATGTGACCCAGGCATAAATTGGAATGTTGACTTAACTTTTTCAATATTAACTTAAAACAAAAAGTACAGCTGCAAAGGTATGATGAATTAAATACATGTGACTTATTGTCAATGAATGATGGGTAGACAGAATGAATAACCAGTCACACATATAGGTATTTCTAATGGGAATAATAAAATACACAAAATAAACTTGACTCACTTTTCTTGTTGGATTTCTTGTTGCCAGGAGTTGCCCCATCTTCTTCTGCTTTACGGTCCCTGCCTGGGCATGCACATATCCTCACCTCACATACACGTCTGGCTATAACGTGACCCATGGGTGTCTCCAGTGTGAATATAATCTACAAGGAACAAAGACACTTTGAATGATATCACACACACACTTCTTTGTACATGTATATTGTTAAGAGCAACACAATTAACTTCATTAATATAAAAATGTACACTTAACACTTAGCTGCGCTCCCTCAGTCAATATCATATTACCCTTCTGTCAATATCATATTGTCCCTTGGGATAAAACCCATATTCAATCCCTCCTAGTAAATAACCTATATATATTAGTATTATTCTTATTGAATATCAAGTATAATCAAGTAAAACATAAGCTAAGAATTCAATAGGTACTGTACCTGAATGGGTCTCCTGTTGAGTCCCCCAACGCAGGAAGAATAGCACATGAACTGGAACAAGCTGACTGAAGTATCACTCCCAGCTGCAATTGAACAACATTCATTATTAAATTCATAGTACGAGTAGAGTTCTATCATCAGGGCTCAGTATACTGCATAGGTGTTTGGGGAGCACAGAACTTATAATTTTTTTACCTAAATATGATCTCGCCTGTATCACAAATTGTCACTACTTTTCAGTCTTTGGTTCCCAGCTGAATGGGTGCACCATACCTAACTAGATCCTTGATCTGTCACTGACATCTAGGTTTTCAGGAAGAAGTCAATGGAGTAAAGTTTAATAAATAAATGGATAAATTTTAACTATTAAATTACCTTGAGGTTCCTCAAATGGAATAGTGAGACTTTCCCGGTTCGTTAGCTGATCTGTGTAATACACTGTGTTTGGATTTTCACATCTGATTAGATGGCTCTTGTGGTCTGCAGAAAAATAAACATATATGTTAGTTCCAAGGCAGTCTATGTTTCAAGCAACACTAGACAAGGAGATATCTCGATAACAATGAGTGTTTAAATGTTCAATTATTGGAAACATATATTGAAGGAAATCACAATTAAGCTTTTCGTGGTTCGCTTTTTAATCAAGAAGGTACGGAAATATGTACTTAAAAAGCCCTCAAAAAGGACAAAATTTGATTGGTCAATATTTTCCAACGATACATTTCACGTAGCCATTTGCGTGACCCAAAAGTAATAAATCAAACTAATTACGCAATTTTGTTTTTACACCCGCACGTTAAATTAAACAATGACACCATCAGAAGTATTGATATTTGTAATTGCTTTAATGGTCAGTATGTTGAGTATTAAGAAAAGCTTGTACAATGAACAATAAAATTCGGAAACGAGTACTATAGATTTGCTTTCGGACAATGAACCAATTGACATAGATAGTCTAATAACGAAGCGTCTTCTTTGGTCTACTGCTCAGTTGTTTGTGGGTTTTCTCTATAATGCAATTTGACGATGAGTACTTTTATTCTGTTGTTGCATCAATGTTGCAGTTTGTAGTGCGGTAAGATTGGAATGAAAGTGTTGAAAGTCGAATGAAATTATTTTTTCCGATATGGCAACTAGTCAACTGATCACGTGACCTTTTCTTCCAGAATATTTTCTCACTTTTCAATCATTGTTTTCACCACGCTATGAATCAAAAAAACAATGAAAAAAAAATTAACTGTTATATTAAGATTAATAGGAGATAAATTGTTTCTGATAATTTTTCTGTACTCCTGTACGGGAATATGAACGAATATATAGGTGTGAAAATCCCCATGTTAAACCTATGGGGGAAAACAAGGAAGTATGACTTTGTTCCTCTGTGAGCTGCATCATGGGAAATATTTTGACCGTATAAGGAAAATCTTTCGCGTCTCCTCTTTTGAAGAGGGAACAACAAATATGACAATTATATTATTACCTCTATTGGGATCCTCCTTGGTAATATGATTAGGGCACCTAGATACAGGCTCCTGTATATGCTCAGGCTGCATATAGATCGGAAGTGCTCGGATGACACTACCAGGTGGAGGGCTCTTGGAACATCTGAACTTGATGGGACACAGAGAAGCTAAGTTGGCAAACAACTTCTTGAGGGACTCGGAATACTGGAAGAAATGAACATGGAATAATATGTAAATAAACAAGTGATATCCTACAGCAAGGAATAAGAATAAATACATGCCAAGAGGATGGATGAAATCGTGAAGATTTGTTTTTTCATGATAAAGTTTACAATAAAAATATGTTAGACACAACGTCACCAGAGTGAAAAAATTCCTTTTAGGTATAAATAAAACAGTTCAAATTTTATTTCACAATACAGCAGTATGTGCTTGGTTTACTTTACATTTACAGGGTGTTCCATATGTTTCAGGAATGATGCTGTATATTATTGGTTTTCTTTTCAATCAAGCTGATTTTTTGACAAAATGTGTCCAAATATGTTGTGAATAAGTTGGAAAAGTTTCATATCATGAAACACAGTAGACTGGATAATATGGTTACGATAGTAACCTAGGGGTAGGGTAGGTGGAGCAGGTGCAACAACGCGCAAAATATGACATTTTTGTAAAAATATTAGTTTTTGTATAAAGTGTTCAAAGTATGAATTTGTCATAGTCACATCAAACTTGTTGGAAATTAAAAAGAATAAAGGTGGATTTCTGGAAATAAGAAATGTTATCACACCCTTTATTAGCCATCATCATTATTTCAGCATCTATCCCTTCCGCATTAGTTAGCGCTCTCACTGTTCTTGGAAATCCACATTTTGAATAATCGGTCTCAGTTTCCCTTTCAGATTTGAATTGCTTGTACCACTCATACACTCTAGAGGTTACCATCATTGAGTCCCCATGTGCATTCGTCAGGAGTTTAATTGTGTCTGCTGCAGAAAACTGTTATTCCCACATGTCATGTCTTGTAACAGATTGTTGTGTGTTGCCTAAGTCGAAGGTTTTCCTTTGCTAATGACTTTTTCACTTTTCAAGATGGCCGCTCGTCCAAAATGACCTGTGTTTATTCTCTTTTGTGACTCATGAAATGACAGTTGTTTAAATTGTGATGTGATCAAGGGTGATGACATTTTTTTTACTTTCTTGGAATCCACCTTCATTTTTGTTTAATTACTGACAAGTTTGATCCAACTCTGACAACTTAACACTTAGTCACACTTCGTACAAAAACGACTATTTTTACAAATATTTCATATATTTTGCGCGTTGTTACACCTGCTCCACCTACCCTACCCCTAGGTTACTATAGCAACCATATAATTAAGACTACTGAACTTCACAATATGAAACTTTCCCAACTTATTCAAAACATGTTTAGACACATTGTGTCAAAAATTCAGTTAGATTGAAAAGAAAACCAATAAAACACAGCATCATTCCTGAAACATATGGAACACCCTGTAGTTTACTCACCGTCCATGTGGTGCTCTTGGTTTCTTTTTGCTGTTTGCCGAAGCACACCTCGAATCCATATTGACCAGGATATTCTGTGCTGAAAACACAACACCAGACAAATATCAGAACTCCATATAACAACTAATTGACTCATCAGTGGTTACTTTTTGATGTGACTTTCAAACACAGCCTAATTTTTGATATCTTATTCTCCACATTGAAAACATTGCAAAAAATAACAAACTATATTGTATCAATGTCATATTCCCACTTATTGGTCGATATCATAAAAGTGACCAAAAATAAGACGTATTCTTCAGCCAAGCACTGTGATGTTAGTAAAAACTAAAAAGACATATTCAGTGAGCGTATTCACCAGGGGGTTCAATGCTGAATTTACTTACTTGGATGGCATAGAAGTTGCCTGGGTGCCAATCATCTGAGTGTAAGGACTGGGGCTTGTGCTTGCAGCAGCTGTAGCACTGTCTGGCAACACCTGAATCTGCTGCTGTAACAGCTGTTGTTGTTGAAGCTGCTGTTGTTGAGATGTAGGAATACCAAGCTGAAAGAACATTTAAAGCAAGACTCATTTGAAGGGCCTTTGAAAAGGAACTTAACCACCTTGTCTTCTTGTGTGGTCTTACCCAATGTCATCAGGATGTGATATGTGAAACTTCTATTTAAATTGTTTTTGAAAAACCTTTTCCCTAAAATGTTGAATGTATTGCTTTTTCCTTTATCTTAATATTTTCATTAAGTTTAGGATATCTGAAGCAGATAAATGAAAAGTTGATCGACTTATTAATTTTTCTTTATAGGTTTTCATCCTGGATGGTCAATCATGTACAAAAGACGACAAAAACAGTGCAACTTGACCTATAGTAAAACCTTGGACTAACGCTTCCTGATAAACATACCTCATTGGCACTTTCATGTTCACATGTTCTAAGTCTATAAGAATTAAAGTAAAATGAAACCAGAAATCAAAGATGGATTGGATATGAGTAATACATTGAATAGACAAAAAGAAAATATGGCAGTTTGATAAAAAGATTGAAAAAGTGATGAAAAGATATGATTTAAGCGCAGGAACTCCTGCATACATTTGTTTAGTTTCTAAAGTTAGTTTACACAGGCACTCCCACAGTTACCCTTTGATATTATACAAAAGCGTGTTTCCTGTGTATTATCATTAATCAAACTGATATCAGTAAAGTATACCCTCTAACATTCAAGTATAAGCACAAAAGCATACGTTTTGTTTTATAAAATATAAGCCCGTATTAAAACAGAAATCCTGAATTGCTCCAGAGACAACTATAACATAATTTCCCACATAGTGTATGCGTTCATAGTGCACCTTGTTATTTTTGACTTATTTGCCCTTACTGATATTAAAGCATGCCACAGGTCAAATATATGATAAGAAAATCCATTTCATAATTTAACAAAGTTAAGTAATAGGTGTACTGCATATAAAGCTGTACATGCCACAACCATTTCTGGTGTAATTCCTTAAGGAAAACCTTTCCAGGAAGTTAAAAGCGATTTCCTGTTTTCCAGTTAAAAATTCAAAAACATATTCGATCTACTAGTGCATATACCTTAACACTGACTATGTGGTCCACCAAGTCATCTGAGGAGTTATAATGCCATGTACATTGGTCATTATTTGATTTTGAACTATCATTTCTTGAAACAAACTCTGGATCTGTTAACCTATCAGATGATTGCTCCATCTTTCCATCTTGGTTTGAAGATTCTTTAGGGTTTTCCCCCTCTTTGGCATCATCAGTAGAAGCATTTGATAATTCATCTTCATGCCTCTTCATTGAAAGGTCCATGACTGTCTCAGGCCTGCTATTTTCCATCACAGGTTTATGCTATCACAGGAAATTGAAATGACTAGAATTTAGCAATGAAAACTCTCCATTGTTTTCTTTGTGTGCGTTTATCGAATTTTTTGTTATCCTGACCCAGTACAGGCTCTTAATCTTAGAAGTAACATCTCTCGATTATGTGAATTGTAATATTCTTTCATTTTGGGCCACAATCTATGTTGTATCCCAGTTCTCTGCTGTATTATTTGATCACTAACCAAAGCATGTGCCAGCATTAAGTCCCTTTAGACTATGTTTAACACATACTGGATACACAACATAGAAATATGCTTAACTTTTATCCCTTCATAAGCATATTATTAAGTATAAACTACTTTAGTAGTACTATCCTTGTTTTGTTAACATTTAGTAATGTATAAACCAGACTTTTTATAAAAAACATCTTAGCTAAATTTACAAAAGAACATCACTTCAGAATAAAGTTACAAATGGCTTATCTAACTTTACTTTATATTTTATTATTTACTATTTCAAACAAACCGAAACAAAAAGGAACATTTCTCAAAAAGTTTATTTATATTGGAGATTACTTATTCACTTCTACAAATGTAAATATAATGACCCCCTGGAGTAAAAACATGTTCAAACACATCTACAGTTTTGACAAATAGCCAATTTTAATATCTGATTTCATAATTAACAAGGGTCCTAGAAACAGTTTTGACAAAATTGAAATGTTAGTTTGTTTTTAATAATCATTCTTGATGGCATCCAGGTACAAAATTTTGCAAAGCCGAACTTTATATTAATTTCATCAATAGAGATAAAGTTCTACGTAGAAATGCAGAAAAAAACATCCAACAGCTGTTGGGAATATGCTCATTACAAATATGTTGTCTTACTTTGGTCCAAAGCCTTCTCTATATTCCGGCTTTGAGTAGGAAGATTGAGCTGCCTTAGTATTATAAATATTGTAAATCATTGTGTCACACGCACAGTAAATATGGCATAATAATCTGAAATATACCTTTATGTATAGATTTGAAGAACATCAGCTCACATCCCCGTCTGAATCTATTGTTATATTTGATTTCCTTAAGCGAGAATAATTTCAAATTTTATTCACGTCCAGAACCGGAAGCCATTTTTAGCTACAGCGAGAAAATTTCACCATGTGTCAAACTCCGAAATGAAATTTTGAAATATCTAAATCCAGACAGGCAACGCTTCATCCTAAATATGATTAATATTCTTCAAAATATTTATAAAATTTATTAAAAATGAGTTCTAGGTGCGTGTAGCACCTTTTCTAGATTACATACGAAATCAATGAAGTTACGTCTAGCTGTAAGCTAGAGACTCGAGTAAATGTTGTCCACCATGCTTAAAAAATCTGATATATAAATGATGTAATGTTTATTCTACATGTATATAAATCATTTCTTCAAATTATGTTACATAACAAGATTTAGCTACTCTCTGGAAAAGTCATAAAAATAAATGCCATGTCAATGTCAATACATTTATAAGTAACTCTTACCCCAACATTTTTGTTAAAGCTCTTTGCAATAGGCTTCTTTGGTACCGTAAACTTCAACATTTTCCGTTTTGTTTTAATTTGAAATCCTGATTAATAATTGTACATTTGCAAGGTTCCAACTAAACAGTTCAAACTGCAAAAATCTACCAAGCACAAGACTGTATGGAAGCTTTACATTTATGTGCAAATGTTCTTATCACACAACTAGTTGTTATTGGTTTAGCACTAGATGATACAGAACTTGCCTAGGCTTGCCCAACTATATGGTATATATAGGAATTTATACAGTAGCAAAGGAAGCACATGGTTTTACAGCCATTTTGACTTCAATTACGAAATCGGCACAAAAGCGCATGCGCAAATGGTCAACCACTCCTATAATCTTGTCATAAATTACCAACTTAATGAATGGGAAATTACTCAATTTCGTATGAATTCCTGCAATTTGGGGTTTCTGAGGACAGATAGTTTTCAATAATAAACCCTGATAACTTATTTCAGTATATTATTAAGACCATGTGCAACATTCAAATAGTCATTTAATTAGCCAGACACCAGGAACTATTTGAATAAATTATGTTCATTAAATAAAAGGCAAAGCTAGCTATATACACATACACAATATAAATGAAGGAGGGGGGGGGGTCACAAGGCATAAATATTAAAGAAAAATATTTACCACTTCCTGGCCAGTTCCCGAAATGATGTACTTCTCCATTTGGAATGTCGTTTTCACCTCATTACCGCCGAATTCAAATTCAGTAGTATCATTCACCTGTGTAAAATTCCTGAAATAAAATAAACAGACTATTATTTTAAGTTTATCATTCAGACCTAAATAATTTTGAAGTTATTTTGAAATATATGATTCATAACATTCATTGACATACAAGTTATACCTTTGTACATCTGTGCACATTTAATCTGAATATTGTTAAAAAGTAAATAATATAAAGCTTGGCAAGAGCATGCCATGAAAGTTCAGGAATTGGTCAATTGGATGCAAAATTTGATTCTTCGTCAAAACAAGGAAACCCAGAAAGCAATAACATAGACAGGATCAAAAACTGGGGAAGGCAAATTTAGGCTAAAATAAATATATATCTACCTTTAAATAAATTTCCTGAGTTGAAAAAACACCAAAAATAATAAAATTCTGGAAAATTTTGGAGCGGCAGAGAAGTTACTTCATCTGCCTCATGAGAAATGTTCAAGATGAAGAGACTGTATGATTGTAAAGCGATGAAAGTCATTGTTCCTCATATGATAGTAGAATTCCCTGAAGGTTCAATACAAAAATACATTAAAAATAAGTGACTTACCCATTTTCTGTCACATCATTTAGTTGCGCCAGTAATTCTGAAAATGTATCCTGAGAGATAAGCGAATCAGGGTCGGCCATTGTCTGAAAAGTTGAAATCAGATATAAAATATATTATACAAGCATGGACTTGGTACAAAGTATTTCTACCATTTAGTGTATTTATTCCCATCAATTGAGTACAGATGATAGTGCCCAATGTCAATTTCAATGATTAAATCTGACAAAATATGGGCCATATCTTTGCTAAATGATTATACATGTGAGCTAAAAATGAGTGATGTCTCATGTCTGGGCATTAAGATTTTAATCCAATGCAATAATCACCAATTTCTGAAGGAGTGAATAATTGTAAACCTTCCTTCAATAAGCTATTGAACTTTTCTGTGGCAGCATTAATGAATTGGTCAACAGAGACACAAATAGATATGATGTCTTCTAAAAGAACTCTCAAAAAATGAAGTCATCGTCATGTTACACAATTCAATCATTTACTGATTACTACATCGAGAAGTATCCTCATCAATAATCCAAAGTATAGTCATTGAAGAAATATGCACCTGTGATATTTTCAGTTTCCAGTCAGGGGGGGGGGAGATGCGATAAACAAGCCAAAAAGTAAGATTTATTTTGAATTTTACAAAAATTGATGCAACTTCTTTCAAAATTGAGCTAGAAGCTTCAAATAAAAATGCATTTTAAAGCTCTTTTCTTCTGCTTTCTCTTGATTTTATCCACCACCCTCCCCCTCCTGGCTACGCCTATGCATGTGATGTTTCATTTGTGATGTCTCATTTGTATCATGCAAACTTCCAAGCTTAAATATCCAGGGCTGAAAGGGGAATCCCCTTCTGAAACGTTCCGTCAACGACGAGTGACGTGGAACTTAGCAGTTAATGTTGTTGCATCCTTAGGGACATGCACACTATGTTTCATACTATACTACATACTAAATCGCAACATATAGACCATAAGCATATAGCTGAATACCTTTGATTGCAATCCATTTTCTTATAACAATAACAAATGAAATGTCAAAAATGATGAAATCAAAATATTTTGATTTTACCGAAATTTTGCAATGCAGGTTTCGAATGAATGCTGTTGTATTTACAGGAAATCCGAATAATATACATACCCCATAAATGTGTTCCTATATTATACTATATTATATGACGATAATGTTTTGGCCTAGTGGTAAAATTAAGGGTTAAATGTCATAAAGTTGGTGCTGTGTTATTGAGCTCCTCGCACGCGGAATCCTGAATCGCCTGTTCGCCAGACATGCCAAAACTGGGTTAGTCCGCGCTAACTGAATGATATATACAGTTTTTAAACAAATAGATATATTTCCTTTGGTGCTAACAAAAATAAAAAAAATCAAATTTTGATAATTTCTAATTTAGAACGTGATTGAGTTAATCAAAATTACACATAGAACATTGCATTATATTCTACTTCGGAAGAACTCAATGTTTATACCGGTGATTAGGCAGGTCAATCATGACATGCGATTTTTGTTCACATGTCAAAAGAATGATGCAAATGCTCATGAATTTTTACCTGCAGAAACATATGGAGTATCTGGATCATTTATTTTGAATTTTGTGCTTGCTTGGAGGATCAATTATAGCAGAACATGCAAAATCAAACTTTTAGAGGTCAATTGTCATGCGCAGTGGTTCATTTCCGCTGGCGGGGTTTTCAAAATGGTGAAACTTCCGGTATTTAAAATGAGAACAAATTTGAACAAACTTATCGATAAATACGCCTCTGTGTTGATACACTGAATCCAACACAACTTTGAATAATCAAAAGACGTCTCGAAGCACTGTATAGACGATGAATTTTTCTGAACTTTTCAAGCAAACGTCTGGTATTTGTCGATTTTCTCCTAATGGAAAATATTTGGTGAGTTTCTTTGACTTTGAGTGATTACAGATTATATTGATTGTGTAACAGAGACCTTTTTTACATATGATTCCTTAGCCTTTAGTGTTTTACACTCCACTAAACGATACAAATCATATGTATTATGTAGTATGTATCCAACAGACCGAATATAATATTCGGTCTGTTATGATTGATATATTTTCTGTGGAAATCGCGGTGATATTTTTTGCACATAAATTTCTCGTTCATTACAAGAATGTTCACCTTGAAAATTGGTGAAGGCATACTCGTTAAATAGCGCCCCCGAAGACCCCTTGGAAAAAATCAAAAATAAGTATTTATGAGTAATCCCAAATCCCAAAAACTAGGCCAGCACAATTTCTATTGTGGCATAAAAAAAATTTAAAATGATTTCATATAAAATGCACCTTATTATCTAATATACTTCTTCCTAGTCTATAATAAAAAAAAGTCGGGATCATCTTCTTCCTATATATAACTCGTCAAATAGCGCCCCTCCATGTTATTTTCCCATTGGATTTATGGCCAAGGGGCGCTATTTGACGAGCTATAATAAGACACTTCTTCCTCGTCTATAATAACGAAATCTAGAGAACATCGTCTTCCTATATATAACTCGTCAAATAGCGCCCCTCCATGTTATTTTCTCATTGGGTTTATGGCGGAGGGGCGCTATTTAACGAGCTATAATAAGAGCCTTCTTCCTAGTCTATAATAACGAAATTTAGGGAACATCGTCGTCCTATATATAACTCGTCAAATAGCGCCCCTCCATGTTAAATACTCATTGAGTTTATGGAGGAGGGGCGCTAATTAACGAGCTATAATAAGACACTTCTTCCTAGTCTATAATAACGAAATAGAGGGAACATCGTCTTCCTATATATAACTCGTCAAATAGCGCCCCTCCATGCTATTTTCCCATTGGATTTATGGCGGAGGGGCGCTATTTGACGAGCTATAATAAGAGCCTTTTTCCTAGTCTATAATAAAAAATGTTGGCCAATAACATGGTTTGTGTCACACATTTTCATAAAATTCAAATCTGTATTTTTATTCATCAGTGATAATAATATAAAATATTGTAGGACGTTCAACATATATATAAAATTAATGGCCTGGCGGTCAGTTTGATAAATTGGTGTACATGACTAGATGCACGATGTTTTATGCAAACTATATGAAGTATTCATACACTGGACACGAGGGATTCAGTCGAAATAATTTAATTTTACATGTATATATCAATGAATTTGAGAGGGATAAAATTTACTTTTATAACTTCTGAGTTAAATTTATGAAGGAAATTTTCAATTATGGGAGAATGACATGGGAAGAATCACGGTCTTTATTATTACGTATAGATATTAGAGGTCATATTCTCAAGCATTTATAACCCAACAATGAACGATCGTGTGTGATAACTAATGGTAAATTTTAGGACGTTTTTGATAACGCTAATAATTGAATTTACAAAGTTATAAGATTTACAAACATTTATCGGACTAAATACTGCATCTTGATTCTCAAGGTTTTAGTTGCTCAAACTTCGCCTTGATATATCTAGTGTATAATTCCATTGCTAATGCCGTAGTCACAGATTTTTAGCACCGATGTCCTGCCGATGAGTATTTTGTTCAAAAATTTCTCATTGGGTTTATGGCGGAGGGGCGCTATTTGACGAGCTTTAATAATAGCCTTCTTCCTAGTCTATATAACGAAAGTAAAGGGGCACTATTAAGTATCTATGTAATTTTATTTTATATTAAAGTAGGAGGCGCTACTAAGCAGGGGCACTATAATGTTATATTATAATGTGAGGGGCGCTATTAAGTAGTGCCCCTATAATGTAGTATTATTAATTGAGGGGTGCTATTAAATAATGCCCCTCAATGATAATATCATAATGTGAGGGGCGCTATTAAGTAATGCCCCTATAATGTAATATTATTAATTGAGGGGTGCTATTTAATAGTGCCCCTCAATGGTAATATCATAATGTTAGGGGCGCTATTAAATAGCGCCCCTTTTTTATATTTTTCCCCCCAAAAATACCTTGCCCCTTTTTTATATAAGGCCCCAAAATAAATCCCTTTTAGAATGTAATCTTACATTGTAGTGTGTGTAATAAATAAATAAATAAAAAAAATATTTTTTTTGTTTTAAATTCGACAAAATTTGTATAATAATTGTATAATATAACTCGTTAATTAGCGCCCCTCCATGTTATTTCCCCATTGGATTATTTATGGCGAAGGGGCGCTAATTAACGAGCTATAATAAGACACTTCTTCCTAGTCTATAATAACGAAATTTGGAGAACATCGTCTTCCTATATATAACTCGTCAAATAGCGCCCCTCAATGTTATTTTCTCATTGGGTTTATGGCGGAGGGGCGCTATTTGACGAGCTATAATAAGACACTTCTTCCTAGTCTATAATAACGAAATCTAGAGAACATCGTCTTCCTATATATAACTCGTCAAATAGCGCCCCTCCCATATTATTTTCTCATTGGGTTTATGGCGGAGGGGCGCTATTTGACGAGCTATAATAAGACACTTCTTCCTAGTCTATAATAACGAAATCTAGAGAACATCGTCTTCCTATATATAACTCGTCAAATAGCGCCCCTCCATGTTGTTTTCTCATTGGGTTTATGGCGGAGGGGCGCTATTTAACGAGCTATAATAAGAGCCTTCTTCCTAGTCTATAATAACGAAATTTAGGGAACATCGTCGTCCTATATATAACTCGTCAAATAGCGCTTCTCCATGTTAAATACTCATTGAGTTTATGGAGGAGGGGCGCTAATTAACGAGCTATAATAAGACACTTCTTCCTAGTCTATAATAACGAAATCTAGAGAACATCGTCTTCCTATATATAACTCGTTAAATAGCGCCCCTCGATGTTATTTTCTCATTGGGTTTATGGCGGAGGGGCGCTATTTAACGAGCTATAATAAGAGCCTTCTTCCTAGTCTATAATAACGAAATTTAGGGAACATCGTCTTCCTATATATAACTCGTCAAATAGCGCCCCTCCATGTTAAATACTCATTGAGTTTATGGAGGAGGGGCGATAATTAACGAGCTATAATAAGACACTTCTTCCTAGTCTATAATAACGAAATCTAGAGAACATCGTCTTCCTATATATAACTCGTCAAATAGCGCCCCTCCCATATTATTTTCTCATTGGGTTTATGGCGGAGGGGCGCTATTTGACTAGTTATATATAGAAAGTCGATGTTACCATATAGGAAGATCCCTGTTTTTTAAAATGTATTAATACATTAGGAAAAGTCTTTTTTTAGATAATAAGGGGCATTTTTATGGATACTTATAATTATTTTAGACAATAGATTTCATTTTGGGCTTTATTATACCTAATTTATGTATTTTTTCTAAGGGGTCTTCGGGGGCGCTATTTAACGAGTATGCCTTGGTGAATATGTTGGAGAGATGTTCATCTTTAACTAGAAGCAAAAATATTTGTATAAGGCGGGTAAAAGTTGATATAAAATAATGAAATGTTCAGACTCACCAAAACTTCAGGATGTGCTCATAAGTATATCGCAAAATCAATGTCAAGGAGGTTTGAGTTCACGAGATCCAAACGAGATATGGAAATTTTTGAACTTTGACAACACATGACAACTTGATTATCTCGGCCTTCTTCATGAATATTTCCGCTCTATTTACTATAAATGAAGACAATTAATCGGGATAATGATAATAAATGACTAGATCTAATAAATTCCCGCACAAATGGAATTTATCAATACGCTTCCGTAATGTTGCTCCGTCCGCTCCACGTGTTATTTGTTTACAAATAGACTGACATCACTGGCTAAATCTCGTTTATCGTGAGAATTGGCATTGCCAAAATGGCTTGACCTAATCAATGGCTTCGCTACAAGAACCGTCTGTACATTTTATGAATATCTTCAGTAAGAGGACAATATACGAAAAAATAATATTGTAAGTTCTTTATAAGGTAATCATTTTATCATTAAACAAACTTATTTGTAACATTTATACAACACCACATTTTACAATAGGTGACTTACAGTCTGAATATTTATTCAGACGAAGGATACAGTCTAATGTATTATGTAAATAGTTCTATGTGGACTAGTCATATAACTGTCGTATGCTCAGAGCTGTCAAGTGTCCCGCGAATGGCGGGATTATCCCGCGAATTTGATCAAAATTTGGCTGATTCGCGTGTCCCGCAATGTCCCGCGAAGTCCCGCCAATGTCGGCTTTGACCTCCGCGAATTTTCAAAATTGTAACAATCCCCGAGGCTAAATAATTGTGATTATCTTGTGATATACAGTGTAAGAAGGTAAAGGGTACACCCCAGTTGTCCGAAACCCATTACTCCGAAAAATATAGGCATAATTTACCAGAGAAAGGGGGGCGTACCAAGTTAAGCTTACGCCAGTTTCATGCCATGTATTTGGGCAAATTAATGGGATGGACCATGGGCTTTCAACTAGACTGATTGAAAGCCCATGGATGGACGCATTCTGATGTTTATAGATCTCTCTCTCTCTCACTTAGGATTGCACCCATTACATGGTGCTACTAGAATGGCAGGAACGGGGGATTTATTTTACATTGTGATCCTAAAAACGGTTATTAAAACAATGGAACAGTTTATCTTAACTTCTTCAATCTCTTATTTTATAGGCAAAATAAAATGAAACATTTTGATAAAATAGTTAACGCATAGAACTTAATTTCTTAGTCTCTGTCTCTTATCAAATCGTAAAAGAACACAACATTCTAAACATATTCACTTGGGATTTATTTTTCGGTATTCGTTTCCGGTATTTGTTTTTATTATTTTCTTCTCCTAAAATGTATTTGCTTGACAATAATCAGAGAAAGTGCGTATAAGTATTTTGCGTGGCATATTCTGTCACGCAAACAAACGGGTGTGACTTCAATAACTTGTCTGTCTGAGGACGTATTGGGAACGATG